ATGAAACTCAAACCGGTTAACAATATAAGTAAGAAACAAAATAAAGGGACTAAAAAATTTAACGAGGTTCGGTAATGTGTGCCTATTTCATATCAACTCTTCCACTATATCAAACAGAAGAACGATCTTATAAAGCCAATGCCAAGACGTGATGTATACAAGAACGAAGCCTCAGCTTACTTATCATTCTCTCACACACTAATGAACTCTATTGCTTGAACTCACTCTCACTCTCACTCTCTCTCTATTTGGAGTGGAAGATTGACCTGATGCGAAATGGTAAATAATTCTCTTTATACAGGCACGACAATGACTAATTTGGGAGGACCCCATGGTACGCCAACAGCTTGATCCCACACATATCAATGGCTCACAACGTATCAATGGTTGACAACACTTATAGTGATTGATGTGATGCTAGCATGTTTTTTCTTCAGAATTGAAATGCAAATTCACCTTTGACTTGGGGACGTGGTGTAGATGCGAGAAATTATAGTTTTGAAGGCCGAGTGCAGCTGTGCAGGAAAGATTCTTTTCTGATTGTTGTAAAAAGTGGTTAAAAATAATTATTCATGCGTCGAATTTTAGGTTCAATAATTTTCCCCTCTCCACTTATTCAACAACAACAACAAAAATGACAGATTTGTTAGAAAATTATCAAAACGATTGATTGTGGCAGAGACGAAGCAAGCCGTACCTACCACCAACCAAAACGCGCAACTATGATGAGAAAGCCTCGTCACGATCCACCGACCAAACCCAAAAAAGGAGGAAAAGATCCTAGAAAACAAGAAGCAAGATCACAAAGAAATGTCGGCCTCAGATTGAAAACAAAGTAAACAGAACAAGTCAATTTTGATATCACTTTCCATATTTTTTTGGAACCAGAACAAACCCACAGACAAGCAGGCACTAAAACAACTGTGTCTCGGTGTGAGGGAAGGTGCTTGTGTGTAATCTGACAGAACGTCATGTCGTATATGATTGGGAACGACCTCGGATCACGCCACACGACAACTAGGTAAACTAGCTTGGCCATTAATTAGGCCACGTCATGTCCTGCGCTAAGACCCAAATCCTAGATTTCGAGTAGAATATAGGCTTTTCCATTTGACCATAAACCCAAACCCTAAATTTGATTTTTTTCAAAACCTCTGGGTTTTTTATTTTTTATGCAAGCGATATTTAGGAAGTGGGGATTCCAACACAGGAACTCAAGTTAGAATATAACCTAGAATATTCCATATCTATGTTTGAATGTGCATTGGAACAAAAAGAGACTATTAAGTCTTACGTCCCATCATTTTTGAACCAAAATATAAGAATTTGGGGATGAGAAATTGGATTGAATTTTTTCAGACCCGAAGAATATGAATGAAAAATGGACTTATTAGCTAAATCTAAAGCAAACATGCTAATCACTGAAATGGCTATGTCATACTAACTTTAAGAAAACATTCTGCCAGAATGCCTCACCTTTTCCCTCATGCGTATACTCCAAGCAAACAACAGTCAAATCGACTATTTTTGTTTTGTTTTAATGGTTACAAAAAAAAACAAAGTGTTCGCCTTATTTAATCACAATTAGATTACTAATTGATTTTAGATTGGACTAAATGTTTTTTGTAGGGATGATTTTGAATGAGAACAATAAAGAAAAAATAGTTCGTATTATGAGATCACATTATATACGAAGTAGTGATTAGCATCGTACTAGCTTAGAAAATTCATTTGTATATATTATATATGAACACACAAGAGTTTTCTCATGGGTTGAACTAGCAACAAGGATACCATGGGCTCTAGCCCAAGTAGCCTTTACAAAATATTTTATTTATTTTTATGTGATTTCATTTTATAAAAAATTAATAGTCCACCCAAATGTAGCCTAATAACTCATTGTCCACTCAACCTATAGGCCTATAATCATCTTATATTTAATTTGTTTACTTAGTTGAGAGTATCTCCAATTGAGATGTCAAATAATATGCATCAAAAATCGATTTGATGGCTGGTAACTTTAGTCAATAGAGCTATGAACTAGTGAATCGAACCTGAGTGCACTTGGGGGAGAGGAGAGTTTGACCCACTTTTTGATTGTGGTGTCACCCTATATGCGTGGTTTATATGATTTAATGTTTATTTTTATTTCTAAAAAATTATAGAAATTGTAAGTACCAAAAAAAAAAGAGCATTACATTTTAAGCTAATAACTTTAGCTAGTCCATCCGTTGAAAAATTCATGATTCCGCCGTTGAGTATTCTCATCATAGGAGTATCCTATTAATTTTATGGTTGAGTCTAGATGACAATAATATGGAGGAGTGAGATAGGAAACATAAAGTAAAAATTGGAGAGATGCCCTACAGATTACTGTATATAATGTATCTATATATTCCATCCACTTTATACATTCTGAACTTTTGGAGGCTACTTATCCTCCTTTTTGGTGGAACCCGCATGGATAGTGGTAAAGGAGAAAAGAAGCAAAGAACAAACCAAAAAGAATTGAAGACTGAGATATATGGGCAGGAATTTGACATGGTAAAAGCGACAGTTCAATTATCAGTAAAGTTAAAGGATATATCGCATGGTAAAAGCAAAATATCTAATCCACTCATCTCAACGAGTAAGATTTTCAACCACAACTTTAACAAACATTGCTTAAATATATTTTAAGTTTAAATATATTCTCGTTTTGACCGAAAAAATAAAAAGGTATTTTACAGATGATTGTACATATTCAGAGTTTACTTTAAAAAATTATAAAACACGATAGATGAATACATACGTAAGTCATAGTTTTCCTCCATTAAAAAAATTTATAAACTTTATTTGATGAGATAAATTAATGATTCTTGAAACATTGTTTCACATGCATGGAGTCTTCCAATTGTCCTTAAAAAAGGAAGGGGTGATGCGTTTGGAGGTGCTAATTAGTATTATTATAAGTATATTATTAGACGATCGCATGCAGTTTCTTTCTGCCAGATCAGTTCTAATTTTTAACTTCTAAAGTTCATGTTGAAATAAAGAAAGCATAATTAAAAATTATTTATGTTCAGAACACCACATCCTTAGTTTATTGGTTGTTTCTCTCTTTATTCTCGTAGAAATCGAAGGTAGGAACTAGGAAACATCTCTTTGGAAGAACTCCCAGGTTGGAATCTCACCGCCCCTTGATTAAAAAAAAACCAAAGAATACTCTTTCTTTTCACTTCTTCCATTTTGTTTGTTTGTACGAAGTCTAACATATTACTCTTTCCATTCATATTCTCATTATTTTACTCATTCAATTTCACACCAACCAAACACCACCTAAAGAAATTGATAAAAGTTAGGGTTTTTATCACAAAACGTCTTTGAAGTTCACGAACTTATCAGATCGAGTCCTTTATGTTTTTTTGTGTCAGTAGTAATCCTTAAGATTAACACCCGTACTTACATATTGAAAAAGAAAAAAAGAAAAACATTAAACGACAAATCTGGGAACATCTCCCATTCTAAGTACTTCTAGCCAGGAAGAAAATATACAGCGGGTGAAATTCAACCGGACCAAAATGGAAAAATACAAAGAAACGGTAGCTAGCAGTCCCTTCTAATAACAAATGTAGTTTGTCAAATCTCAATTGGGTGCATTAGGCATGGATACAAACAGAAAGTTGCTAGCCCTGCAACTGTGCCTCACTCACCTATTGAACCCTAAAATAATAGTGTCCAATTGAATTGAGAATCAGCATTGACTTTTTCGACACATACATGACGACACAAGACCTCAGAATAATGGCGGGGCTCCTCGTCCTTCCTACTTGTGTATTGTTTTTATTATCCTTCTCTTCTTCCTCACAAATTGAATGACTGAATAATATTCGACATCTCAGACCAAAAAAAAGAAGACAATATTCGACATCTTTCCCTTTCGTTGTCCAATGTGCATATGGCTTCTCTTTTTGTATTTGTAACTTCAAAGTGGAATCGGATTGGAATTTTCCATGTCATTCCGCACCACTTGTCTCTTAACTCTACGGATATTTCTTCTTGGCGGCCAACTTTATAAAATTAAAAGGAGATCCAGGGAGCATTACCCTATACAAGTGACACTAGCTCTTTGTATCATAGTGGCGATGAAGACAAAAAACATGGATAACTGTAATTCTTGAAAGAGTTGTGCTACCATCAGTCGTTTGTATATGTGCGCAGGATGGTTTGATTAATGGTATGTGTGTTTCATTGTTCGTCTCATACACATAGATAGTTGACGGTTGGGAACTAATGATCGATTAAGGAGAGGGTCAATCTCAGCTCCACTAATAGAAGGCCATTCTATTATTTTATTAACTGATTTATGTATAGGATTCCATTCGCCCCACGGTTGGGAACTAATGATCGATTAAGGAGAGGGTCAATCTCAGCTCAGCTCATCATGGTTGCTTGCAGCAGAACCCTAAGTTCCAGCATCACCAGATTTCATGGGCCTGCTAGGTTGGGAAGCTTTGGGAACTGGAGCAATAAGATTGAAAGTTTTCGTAGGCGAGGGGATTTTAGATATATTTTACTGTTTAAATATCCTTCAAAGAAAAACAGTACAAATGTAAGGAAAAAGAAATTGGAAAACAATTGCACTTGGATCCAAACATAAAGAACCAGAAATTTGCTGATCAATTAGGTAAAAGAAATTATAACCAATAGAACAAACACGTCATTGCAACTGCCAGAAGGTCTCAAGTGACTTGGTTCATAAAAATATTCACTCCATAACAAGCCCTAACTAGCAGTACAATTTACACACCAACTGATAATACATTTTAAGATTAGACGCTTTCTGCCGGGAATAAGTAAAGCTCCTGAAACAAAAAAGTAAAGGAAAAGAATTGTTGTACACAAACTCAACAAAAAGGAAAAGACGATCCTCTGAAAAGCTTGAAGTTCTAACACGGTCCAAGAAATGGTCTTCAGAAACCAAACCCAAGTTTAAATTTTGGTTAAATCCACATCGTTTATCACATGATGCTGCATCGGCTCCTTTCTTCTTGTGGCTGAGCTGGTACCGGCTGGAACCTGTTTGACTCAGATGGGTTGTATGTAAACTCAGCTGTATCAAGCCCGTACTGATTTTGGTTATATGCAGTGTGACCATAGTCACCAGACAAAAAAGATAACAGGCATTAGAACCATAAACTATGGAAGAGATTGTAGCATAAAAATATTATTTTTTTTTATTTTTTTTTCAACCTGAAAAATATAAATGAAAAATGGAATTATCAGCAAAATCTAAAGCAAACCTGCTAACATGCAGATCTAAACTCTACACTATTACTAAAATGGCTATGACTATGCATCATGTCATACTAACTTTAAGAAAACTTTTTGCCAGAATGCCTCACCTTTTCCCTCATGCGTGTACTCCAAGCATCACTTCTGTTCGGTCGTTGATCACTAGCCCCAGCAACAGGTACACCAGTTGCCGGAACTGCTGGCCTGTTACTGATCAATGGCTGTCTAATTTGTTGTCTTGGAGCTATGAGCTCATCATCACTGTCATACTCTGCTGGTCTGTTTGCTGCCCTAACCACAAGAGCTAGCAAGAAAAGTAGAGCCTGAAATTCCATGGAGAAATATTATAAAAGAAACTTTTAGGCCAAGAAAACACCAAACAATTTTTTTCACCACACTGGATTCAAGAATCACAACAGAAGAACACTGACATCTTAGCAATGATTTTGTGCAGCTAAAAAGCAAATAATGTACAAAACTTTTCAGACCACAAGGAAATCTTAACCAATATCAGATAAAGATGTACAAGTCTACAAAGAAATTTTAACTACAACCAGAAGACTCTAGCAGCAGCTGGCTGGCAATATAACACCATTTCTAGAACTAACATTTCAATGGTTTTGTTCTTATGCAAACAGTTCTGTCAATGTTTTTCAATAAGAGCTATAATTTTACTATAAGAAAAGAAGAACGTTACAGAACAGATAACTAAATATCCACTGATCTATCTAGAGTAGCAGCAAACGCCATTGAAAAATTGATTCATATCAGTTTCATGCAATGAAAGAATTCCCCAACAGGAACAATATCACAAAGAAATTGTATTTAGAAATACAATAAGATCCTCGCTCATGCTATTGCGCATACACTTTTAATCATATCATGAATCATAATTACTACTAATCAAACTTATGCAAACATTTCAATCACTGTCATTATGATGTAGACACAAAATAAGACCATGAAGAAAATGCATTCAGAAATACAGCAAGATCCTGGTTCATGCAATTAAGCATACACTTGAAGATCATAAAATTAATCATGATTACTGTCAATCCAGCCGCACGAAATAGATAACTAGAAAATATGGATTCATTCAACAAAATAAATTCAACTTAGAAGCAAACCAGTACAAGCTGACATCAAAAGCATAACATGTTTCTTCCATGCTACATGTTCATTAGGCCATGCAAGAACCAACCCAATGGCAGCACCCATTTCAAGTATTCTAGCCAATGAGAAACAACCGTGAGGTAAAGTTCCACAGAAGCATCAGGTTTGATAATGTTTCGCAGTTTCCTTTCAGTGATGCATTGCTAGCTAAAAGATGGCCACCCCCCTTGTATACTTCTTATATATTTCTATATGGGAATAAAAAAAAATTAAAAATATAATTCCAACCCAGGGAAAAGAGACGGTCATGCCAAAGCAATCTTCCTTTAGTTGACTGAAGGACATAATCGTAATTCCACCAAAGGAACAAAAACTCAAACCAAAATATGTCGAAACTGAAGAGACCTTGACAAGATTTTGGATACTTTAGTTACCTCAAAGACAACGGCTCCAAGAGCAACCCATCTAACAATGTCCCAGTGAGCTCTCAGAAATGCATATATCATCTCAAAATCTCCACTTTTATCTGTTGGGATTTCCTGGAAAACAAATTATGACACTGATTAGATGGCCAATCATACCACTACCATCAAAAATTTCAAAACATCAGTTAATAACAGAACTTACAGCTTCCCAGCTTTTGTCAAAGAATATAAAGGCTGCACCTGCCAGCTCTACCAATATCAAAAGGATCAGCAAAACCGAATACTATGACGACTTAAGGAAACCAATTTTTGAAAATAAAAGAGTATAACTCACATGCACTGTACATCAAGTATATTTATCAGCTACCATGTACTATGAGTGTAATTCAGCATTATTTTAGTATGACGCCATTGTAGGCGTATCACATAGCTGAAAGACCATGACATTATTATCTGATATACCATTTAGACAAAATATTGAGAAATTAGGATACACAACTCAAGCAGCAGCCATTCCGTGTCATGGCGGCCACGCAACCAAAACAAGAGATGACAAATATAATTGCTCCAATTCCAATAAACAAGTAGATGAACCTGAAAAAGCATGTGACATTTAATGGAGGGAAAAAATAAAGAATTAGTAGCTTGAATTCAACAGGTATGACTCTTCAATATCTATATAAAAGTAAAAATGCAAGAATATGCCTAGATCTAGGATGGGTAAGTTACAGGTTCATTTATTTTACAAAAAGAGATGTGAACCACAGATTGATGCGGACATCATTAGTTAGTTCCCTGATTTATTAGTTTCCTAGATTCTCTAGTTTTCCAGATTTCACTAGGATTTTAGTTTCCAGAGTTTTAGTAGGATTTGATTTAAGTTTCCTAGTTTATTTTACTTAGTTCCTTGGTGGATTAGAATTTCTGTTTTAGTGAGGGATTTTTATCCTATTGTCTCTAGGTTTTAGTTTGCTATAATACCCCCCATGTAGTTCTTTAAAATGGAGATTTGAGATATTAAGAAAAGTTTACTTTCCAGAGATTGAAGACTCCTTGGTGTGAAGCCAAAACTCTTTTGGCGTGAAGCCAAGGTGTCTTTTACCACCTATTTTCTGTTTTTCCATTGTTCTCGCTTATGCTAAACTACCTAAATTCCTAAATACTCAATTCACCCGTGTCCTACATCAAATTTGGTATCAGAGCCAGGTTTTCGTTTTCCTTGGGTTCAAAATTTTCGAGTATTTCTTGTTCTTCACGCCATGTGTCAAGTGATGGCTCCGACTAAGCTTGGAACGACAGACGAGCCAGAGATGGACTTTGAACATCTTTTTCAGATGATGGAAAACCTATCAAAGCAAGTGGCAGATTCAGACATTAGATCCAGACTCGTGGAACGTCGCCTTGCAGACTTAGAAGCAGCTAACCAACATGATGAAGCAAGTGTGAATGGAGAAGAGAGGAATCGTGAGCGACAACATCATGATATAAGGAATGATCGAGACACAGAGAGACACAATTTTCATCGTGGCTATGAGCAAGACCTTGATGAAAGGGTGATGAGATCAGTGAAAGTTGACGCTCCTAATTTTGATGGTGAGCTAAATCCTAAAGCACTCCTCGACTGGTTAGCTACCATAGATCACTATTTTGAGTGGCACGACATGTCTGAAGCTCGAAGGGTGAGATTTACTAAGATAAAATTGGTGGGTCAAGCTGGATTGTTTTGGACCAATGTTGAAACACAGCTAGAGAGAGCTGGTGAAGAACCAACCATATATTGGGGTGAGATGAAAGAAAGGTTGAAGCAGAAATATCTACCATTATCCTATCAACAGAGTTTGTTAGATGAGTGGCAAACTCTTCGTAAGACAACATGCCAGTTACTGAATATATTGCAAAATTTGAGGAATTCATGCTGCGATGTGACATAAGGGAAGATCGAAGGATGACTATTTCTCAGTTTAGATCAGGACTTCGTCCAGAGCTTCGAAGGGAATTAATTCCTCATACTGTGAATACTTTAGATAGGGTTTTTCAGATGGTACAAGAATTAGAGAAGTATTTAAAGTCGTCCAATGTAGTCAAGCAAACTGATTCTCAAAGATCTGGATTTCATGTTGACACATCTGTGACTCCAAGTTCTACAACTTCAACATCTACTACTAATTTAGTAAAAAATGCCAAGGGAAAAGGAGTGCTAGTTGATACACGTGGTGGTGGAACGCAAAGATGTTACAGATGCCAAGGTTTTGGACACTTTGCTTTCCAAAGCCCAACGAAGGAGGCAACAAGAAATCTGCATGCACACATCAACGAACAAGCTGACAATCAAGGCGAATTCGAGGAAGATATTTATGAACCCCAACAACCTGATGAAGATTGTGGAATCGACTTTGAAGTCCCCCATCCAACATTAGCAGTAGTAAGGTGTACTTTGGCTCAACCTAGGAAGGAAACTGTGGATTGGTGTAGGACTTCCATTTTCCACACTTACATCAAGTCTGGAGATAAAAATTGTAAGGTCATAGATAATGGGAGTTGTATCAATGTGGTTTCAATGCTAACTGTTTCGAGTCTTGGTTTGTCGCCCGAGAAGCATCTTGTGCCATACAGAGTAGCATGGATTGACAATACATCTTCTATCCCTGTTACCCAGTGATGTCACGTTCCTATACAGTTTTCAACTTACAAAGATCATGTTTGGTGTGATGTGGTGGATATGGATGCGAGTCATATTCTCTTGGGAAGACCATGGATCTACGATTACAATGTTACCATCTTGGGTCAAGAAAATATATGTTCGTTCATCCATAAAGGAAAGAAGATCACGATGAAGCCACTTCAACCCAAGCTCGTGAATCAATCTATACCAAACAAAGAGGAGAAAGACAAAGTAGGTAAAACCAAAGTTCTACATATCATTACTCTTAAAGAATGTAAGGAAGATGCAGAAGTTCCTAGTCAAGTGGAAGTTAAACCAGATTCTCGTAGTGCTCGGATTACAAAGGAGGACCTGCCGCACATTGATCCCGACGTTTTCGAATGTTATTACAGCTTTATCTCACCGGAGTCAAGATCTTTTCAGCCAGGGGTAATTGATGCGAACATCATTAGTTAGTTTCCTGATTTATTAGTTTTCCAGATTTCACTAGGATTTTAGTTTCCAGAGTTTTAGTAGGATTTGATTTAAGTTTCCTAGTTTATTTTACTTAGTTCCTTGGTGGATTAGGATTTCTGTTTTAGTGAGGGATTTTTATTCTATTGTCTCTAGGTTTTAGTTTGCTATAAATACCCCCCATGCAGTTCTTTAAAATGGAGATTTGAGATATTGAGGAAAAGTTTACTTTCCAGAGATTGGTGACTCCTGGGTGTGAAGCCAAAACTCTTTTGGCATGAAGCCAAGGCGTCTTTTACCACCTATTTTCTGTTTTTCCATTGTTTTCGCTTCCGCTAAACTACCTAACTACACAATTCACCCGTGTCCTACATCACAGATGCTCATCACTATAAATGAATCACAACCAGTGAAGAGACTGAAGACCTTATTTGTGAAAATTTCAGTACAACTGACCTATATGATAGACTAGTCTTCAGACAAAAAGAAAAAATAGGCTAGTGATCTCAACCAATTAAGTACGGGACTTCCTATAAATAACTAGTGCAAGACTGTCTATTAATGTACTCTCATTACAGAAATAGTCTCTTAATCGTGAGAGAGTAAGTGAATCCCATTTGACCACTGAGTAAGTCCTTTCAAGATCTTTACCTCAATATCTTGGTTAGCTAGGGAAGGGTTACGACAACATAACTTCTCAAGATAGAATCTGTCCTTTATAATGAGAATGGAGTTGATATCCCTTCGAAACAATCATATAAATATGATTTCAAAGGCATCATTAAAATGCTTAAGGCCATGGCTCAAATATAATAAAGATGTAGCCATGGCTCAAAGATAATAAAGATGTAAGTACAGCTGATAGACAGTACAATCTACTTTCTTCCAATAGAATTTACAGAGATACGATGGTGGATCAGACGTATAATTAAATTTAGGGCTTCAAATAAATTCTCTAATATGAAAGTCGCTATTAATATTATATAGGTGAACACATATTAGCTTATTTAACTTTGTTATCGTATCAAGAGCTTGATTAGAAATGACATTCATTTATAGAAAACAAGAAATGGGAAAATCCTTGTGATCCTACCCCTAACCTATACATGAAATAAGGTCAAAATGGAAATATTAAATATTAATGAAATAAGTGCACCCATGTGTGAAGCTGGATGGTGCTATACTCAACATGTAAGGATTGGACTAGGATGAGATCCTAGTGTGACCAAATGTTATATGAGAGATGAGATAGGAGGGATCCACTATGTGTCTTGACGCCTAGAGTAGGCACCTCTTCATCACATGGTGATCAGCCCTATTGGGATTCCAAATCCTCTACATGAAGACTTATGTGCCTAGATTCTTGGCACGGTATCCCATATATCTTACATCAGATTCCAGGAGCAAAATTGTAGTAGGAAGCTCTACCTCTGCATGATATCTAGGCACAGGGATCACATGATCATACCTGCGCCTAGACTCTGGGTGCAGGCTCCACCAGAGAAAAGGGCTATTAGGCTTTCTTATGACCACAAAATATTTACAGATAACTTCTCCTGTACACTTCATGAAGGGCATATGCGCAAAAATTCACTTGGAGGAGCACACAGGCACATCCATTGTAGCCATTCGGATCCAGCAAAATAGGGATACCTTGGAGGGGTTCCACAAAATCTTCCCCGGTCAGACAATGCATTAGATATTTACCTAAAGAGGTAGGTCCTTGAGCAGGTCTTACGTTAGCCCCAAGACATTAGTCTCTAACCAAAAAAGTAAATGCTTGAGTTTGAGAAGCGTCTGGTCCAGTGGGCCATAAACACACTAGGATAGGAAAAATTACTCAACCAAACAAAGAAACAAACAATAAAACTGAACTCCGTGCCTATGAATTTGTTACTGAGGAATATCTGCAGCAGAAGATCCTGAATTTGAGACTTTCTACGCCAAAAATATTCTTATAAATCAAGGTACTTGTGCTTGGATGGCAACTCAAAATGTCCAAGTCTTTGGGTGGAACCATATTGTATTTCATTTTGACCTACAATTCTTGATATGCATTTGAATAAATCAATCAAAACAGAGAAACAAAAATTTCCGCAACAACCAAAGTCAAGCTAAGTTTCTAAATTATAGACTCATTTCACATCCAAACTGTTAACTAAGATAACAGACTAGTTAATTAAGAGAAATCTCCAGTTGGATAAAAAAAAATGGGGAGGAAAATGATTTCATTCCTAAGGTTTTCAATCATTTTATATCATCTTTCTACTTCTCTAAACTTACATACAGTCTACGATATCTAATTTGAAATAAATAATAACAACTATGTGATATCAACTGTAAGAAGATAAGTCTGTCATAATCATCATTGTTATCTTGTTTAAGCCTTACCTAAAATCAAAATAAACAACAGATACCCTCAATTGTAATAAACAAAAGATTAACTAGCTATAACTTAAAAAACTGAAAAAGAAGTTTAATCAATTAGGTAGTAGGCATACCAAGCTTTTGGCAAATTATCCCATATATCAGATGAAAGAGACACAGTCATGAGCATAGGTCGGCTGAGCTGTATCAAAGCTTGATTGTCACCCACAAGCGAAGACATGGCAACTGTGTCAGCAGCTTTCAGGTATTCAACCAGCAAGTAGATCCCATAACCCACCATGGCCAGCCCCACAAGGGTCAGAACAAAGTTCAATAGCTTCAATATGCACTCCCAGCACCCTCTGCAGGCCATCTTCAACAAAGTTCTTGTACCCTTCAATTTCCAAATTCAAATCAAACGGGTCTCTTCTATTTCATCAATTAGCCCACTACCTTCAACAAAAGACCCACATTTAGCCCCCAAGATCAATAACACAAACAACATACAATTCTGGCTACTAACTTTCAGAAGTTTGCAACTAATCTGGTAATTGACGTATTAAGCTCTGTTTGGTTGCTGGGAAGTGTACTCAAACCTTTTAACCGACATCAATAATTGTCTAAGATCAGGGTCATAAACAAAGGAAAATTATTAATTTTTTTTAAAAACAATTTATAAAAACCAACCCCCGCCCCGAATTCAGCTGAAGCTTATGAAAATTTTTGGCTTGGTTGACTTCTAATTCTTTTTTACCAATAGCATATCTGAAATGAGACCCATATTTCAATTTTCCCTCAACTTCCTCAGCAACCATTCAAGTCTCCTAAAAAACTCAACTACCTCAATTTCCTAACCTAATCAACTATCATTTTCCAAACAACACACACTGAAAATACAATCGATGAAGCTAAATGCCATATCAGATTTATAAAATCTAGCATAGATCGGAAGATGAGCAAAATTCGAATTAGGCTTACAGATTAGCGCGGATGATTACGAGAGCTAATCGGATTTCGAGCTTTATCGGATTCTAAATTCGGATAGAGGAAGAGGAACAGAGACGAAGCGAAAAGGAGAGGAGCACCTGTATTTTTAGCCTTTTGTCTACTTGCCAGCTTGGCATTTTTGATTTGTCCCCCTCCCCGTTTTTGCTTTGTCACCGTTTACTATTTTGGAATGACCTTAATGACCTTGTTTCTGCATTTCTATTTATGCGTATATCTCTTAAGGATAGTCTGGTCAAATCCAGTAGCTATGAGTTTTCGGAGAGAAAATGCCGTGCCGACATACGACATCGTTTAACCGGTCTCTGTCCAGAATCGTTCTGCTTTGCCATGTCTGTTCACCTTTGGGAAAAGAAAAAAAAAGGAGAGAGAAAAACATTTTAGACTTAATAAGAAACAAAAAAAAAAAATGACAAAAAAAAAAAAAAAAAAAAAAAAAAAAAAAAAAAAAATTTATTTTATTTATAAAAATGCATGCATGAAAAAAACTGTAATTTTACAATTGATAATTTTAAAGTCTTCTTTAATAATACGTTTGTTTAATATGACTTGTTATGTAATTTTGATCTCGACTTTTGTTTTTGTAATTTGCTAAGATTATCTTCAATTATGGAGTTAAATGTAGTTTATGAATAAATTGCATTTTCATGTTCTTGTAGTTGAATTCAAACAAACTTGATTGCCTCAATTCAGTACGCCTTAAAATTATGGTCAAATTTTATATTACCTCTTAAAATTTAAAGTGATTTTATTCTTAAAATCGATATTTTGCACCGCGCTTTATTTCATATCATCTAGTATATTGATATGTCGGTTCAAAATGCTTAAATGACCCATAGAACCCGCTACTTTATTCAAATGTATGCAACAAAAGTGTAATGTAAGCGAAAAAGTTGTGGCCTCCAGTGCTTTCGCTGTATTAAAATTAAATATGTTAATGTCTCACAACACATTCCGACTTAGAAGTTAAAAAAATTGTAGAAGAATCTGTGGAGTTGCACTACAAACTAAACAATAATACCTAACCGTCGTGGTTCAAGACATCAACAAGTCAAAACAACATTGGTCAAGTTTTTTTTATACGATTTGGTTCATACCTACCACTCTACACTTGCTTTTTATTTCTTATAAAAATTAAAATAAAATTACTTGTTTTTTTATTTTATTTTCAGTACCAACGTGGTATTTTGTACGCTGCACATTATTTATCAACTTAATTACTGTGTTTGTCCCTTTGCTTTCAATCAAATTTCACACCTTATGCTGTTTCATAAATTCTGTCGAGAAATTCTTTATGTATTCTAGCGTGGCAATGGTAAGAGTTCAATTTTTTTATTAATAGAATTTTTTTAACAATCCAAACCATCTATTTTCAAATCTTCATTCATATATCATAATTACAAAAGATCATGTAAATTGAAAATCATTAAGACATCTAATTGAGAGCAACAAAATAGACGAATATAGTGCTTCAAGAAAATACTATAATAAAAACCATCTAACTGAGTTGTCAAATGGTTTTAGATTCAAGTGATTTTTTGTAGATATGATCTTTGAGGGAATATCCAAAAACTAGACGATTCAAATTATTGTGCAAAGGCTTGGGCTGAATTTTTTTTTTTTTAAGTGGGGGCAAGAATTGGGCAAAAATTCAAAGGGGGTGGATTGTAGGACCTGTGAGCTTGGGAAGCAAAACCAATGAGCAATCCCGCATTACTCGGGGAGGGAAACATAAAGTGCCTTTTATGTATGGACACTTCTCTTCCTAGCAAGAGGCCTTTTGGGCAAGATAACATTACATTGAGCCCAAGAACAAAACTTTAAAGAGGGGACCAAAGCGGACAATATCTTGCTAGTAGAGTCGGGTACATCTTGGAGAAGCTACAAAATACTCCATGGGGCAGAGCATTTCTTGTTGACAGCATCAATGACCATTTTAGAGTCATATTCAATTATGATATTGCGCCAACCATGATGAAGTACATGAACTAAACCATCCCTCAAAGCAAGGCACTCATAGTAGATATGTTGAACCCCTAGGTACCTACCTATAGTAGATATGTTGAACTTGGAGGACATTACTAATATTATTCTTGACAATATTAGTAACTCGAGGAGAGAAGTAAAGGGTGGACTTATGGAAATTAATTTGTAGGCCAGAGGCATTAGCAAAACAGGCCAGACATTTTGAATCTTCTTAGTTGCACAAGTAGAAGTTTTGGCAAAAAAAAGGCAATCATAAGCAAAGACAAGATTGAAAATACGGAGACCTCCAAGGGAAGATAAATTCCAATATGATTTTTAGGATTGGAAGACAAAGAATTAAGGTGTCTAATGAAACAAAGGCGGACCTATTAAGGCGTAAGGAGAGCTGCACCTCCCATCGCCGGAGAAATCATTGTTGGTGCTTCAAATTGCCCTTTTGCTTAACTGGTGTACAGATTACCTTATTTTCATTTTCAACATTTAAGTAAATGTCTTTGTTCTTTTACTTTTATTTATTTTTATATTACTCAATTTACTTAAGTTTACAATGTAAATAATGAAGTACCTCCATTTAGATTCAAATAAAGATACTGGAAAATCAAATTTTCCCCAAATCAAAATATGAAAATTCGGTTTTAGTGCAAAATACGATTTAGGCTAAAAATGATGGCTCATTAAGTCAATATATACTTCATAATAAAATCCCATAAAATCAAGTTTTCTTATTTGATGTGTAAGGAATAAAAGCCGCCAAAAATTATCTTGAGAAAATGATTTTTCCGAAAACCATTTTTCATACCTAGTCAATATATTGCACATCCGCTAAAAAATTTCTGAGTCCGTCAGCGTAATGAGAGGTTCCATGTAAATGACGAAGAAATATGGGGATAAAGGATCCCCTTGTCGAATACCCCTAGCGGAGCATAAAAAACTTTTGGCAGAGCCATTAATGAGTAGGGAATAAGAGATAGTATTTGTGCAATCCATCTATTACATAAACCCATTCTTTGTAGACTTATTTACTGCAATTCCCCTTGAAACTAAGGTCAATCTCATATTGCCCCCCAAAACTTAAAGTGGCCCATTTACCCCGCTTGACCGTGGTTTGGTAACCCACTTTGCCCCATGTCATTAACTCCATCCAAAACTCTGTTAAAATTGATGATGTGGCAAGGGTATTTTTGTAGTTTCATACACATACATCATTATCCATTAATTGAGGGGTGACGTGGCAAGTGGAGCCCACCTCCACACACATAAAAATATAATTAGATGTTCTAATTATTAAAACTAATTAAAATAATTAAAATAAAAAACACAAAATAAAATTAGATCCCAGCCGCCCAACCTCCATTCCCACGCCCTTCGTCTCCTGCAAATACCTTGGAAGAAAGAAACTCATTCCACCCCTATCTCAGCCTCCCAAGCTCTCATCCCCATCTCAACCTCAACACCCAATTTCAAATCTGGGTTATTTGAAACCCAGCCTCCCTTCCCCAACCTCTCTCTCTCTCTCTCTCTCTCTCTCTCTCTCGCTCGCACAGATTAGCAGCTTCAAGCCCATCCCCATCATCATTACCCGCGTACCCATCTCCTACCCATCGGAAACTGGAGCCCTGCTTTGTGAGACCTTGTTACAAATTTGGAGGCCTTTGGTTTCCCCTGCCTCCCTTCGTCAAACCATCTTCTGGGTATTCATGGATTTTGATCCATTTTTGTTGTATGGCGGATTGGTTGTGTTGGGGTATGGGCTGTGGATGATTGGATCTAGTTAGGGAAAACGAAAATTATGGCTGTAGGGAGAGAAAGTTGGGGCTGTAGGGTGGGAAGCAAAAGGAGATGCGATGCTTTTGTTTTCTTACTAATAATTTATTTTTTAATTTATTTTTCTTTTTTCTTTTGGCTTTTTGAATTTTTATTGTTGCTCTTATTTTTTTGAATTTGTTTGATTTGTTTATTGCTTATGTGGAGTCCACATCAGGATAAAAATAACTCATGTGTACAAAATTACTTAAACACCCTTGCCACATCATCAATTTTAACAGGGTTTTAGATGGAGTTGACGTCATGAGGTAAAGTGAGTCACTAAACCATGGTCAAGCAGAGTAAATGGACCACTTTAAGTTTTAGGGGATAATGTGAGATTTGACTAAAGTTTTAAGGGGCACTACAGTAAATAAGCCTTCTTTGTATAATTCTGGTCAAACATATCATATGCTTTCTCAAGATCAATCTTAAGAGCCATAGTTCCAATGGAATCTTTCTTACGTTTAAAGTCATTAAATAACTCATGAGCTATAAGGATGTTATCAAAATTTGATCTGCCATGAGCAGAAGAACCATGATTTTTAGAGATGTATTAGATAATAGAGGTTTAACATGATTGATGATGATTTTAGCAATTATTTTATAAGAAACATGGTACAAACTACTAGGTCTAAATTGGTGAACCCACTCATGAGAATTAACTTTAGGAATAAGAGCAATATTTGTATGGTTTAAAGGCTTGAGTGACGGTTGATTGGCAAAGAAATGTTGGATTAAGGCTTTACTGATAGGCTTAGTTTCTTCCCAACAGTTTTGATGGAAAGTAGCATGTATGCCATCAGGGTTAGGAGCTTTCAGAGGACTAATACGCCTCAGAGTTTGGTCAATCTTCAAGTCAGAGATATGACTTAAGAGGGTATATCATTATCTTCATGTGAGATCCAAGGGTCCAAAAGTTTAAAAAACCGTGAAGAAACCAAAACATAGTTAAGATTATGGCTTTATTTTTTATTTTTTTATATTTAAGTGTGGGAGCTACCCACACTAGTAATTAGCTTGGTCCGTCCCTACCCACAAGAGTGTTATTTGAGGGATCCCTCAACTGAAGCTCTTTATGTGTGTGTGTGTGTGTATATATATATAATCCATTTCTATTGAGTGATCTTTCAAATAATTTTATGGGAGTTTCACTAAAACACCCAAAATGAGGGCTGAAATTATAAAAAAAACCAAATACCCAAAACACTTTATAAACACACTCAAAACTCATCATTACAGAAACTCAAATCCCATTTATAAACACCCAAAAAATATACAATTGTTGATTTTGGGTGTGTTTCTATGTTTAAATAGTGCCTATGTTTTTTTATAAATACATGTCTTGGATTGGGTTTATTTATAAATTTGTATAATTTTATTGGCTAAAATGTAGCAATGGTTTGTGAACTAAGACCCGACTTCACTTTTCGTCCCTTAACTCCAAAAATTATTATGGTATGAGAACTAAACACTAATGTCCAAACAGAACACAGCCAAACAACAACAATTCAACTAAACACTATTGTGGTTATATTATTGATTGTTGCTAAGAATGGGAGGGTGAGGGAGGTCGTCGTACATGACTTACGAAATATTGCTTGTGGCTATGACCAGTTGTTGCTTGGATATCTTGCTAGTGTGCAGTATCCTGGACTGTATTCATTATTTATTGTCTGGTCATCGAGCATTGTGAGTATGTAGTGACGTTCGGGTAACTCTTCACCACTGTTTTACTTTATAATTGGAGCATGCCCGTGCTTTGAGAAATTGATTTAATTTAATTGTGTTTATTTTAAAGTTATAATGGTTTTTACTCGTTCGGGGCAACCCTTGAGGGGGAGCAATGTCATACGTGTTGCTTACTCCTAGACCTGCATTTTCTTATGTATGCGATTATTTTAACCTATCACATGATTTTTCGTTTCCGCAATGTTTTCAACAAATTGTTTACTAACTAAAACGCCTTACTTTCTATTGAGAACGTGGTGTTGTAAAATTTAGGTTTACCAAATTAATCCAATTTTAATGCTCACAAGTATATGAATCAAAAGATAGTATAGCTAAGTAAGCACAAATATCGTCCCATAGAGATTGATTTAATTCTTAATATTCCTACCAATTAAACTGAAACTAATTGTAAATTGAGAAACTTTAATGGGTGATATTGTTTTGAATTTGTAATTGAAAAAACTAAAATTAAAGAAAGCAATTGAAAACTAAATACAAAAACGCACAACACAAGAGAAATAAGAAAACCAAGAGAGAAAGACACTAGACCATTCAATTTCACCTTAACCAACACTACCCCATCCATAAGCATACCAATTCCAAGTAATTTCCCTTATTGATCCTAAACTATTCAATGGTCATGGCATCTGGTTTTTACATGCAATCCTCTGGGGCATCTAGATGAATTCTACACATAAATACCCATTAAGCTCTATGGAAATTACGTAGTGATCACACAAAACTTAATTGCATCGCATCTACAATTAGTCATTTATGGTATCAATTGCAATAAGCAAAACTCAAGTTAAGTATGGCATCTACTCTAATTTGCATCACACTAATTCAACTTAGATGGTGATCAAGTATCCAAGCCAAATTAAACATTAAACACAACAAAAGATACTCAATAAAAAGAAAAAAAACTTGAAATTAATATTAATTAATTGAATATCCATGATTATGCTATATCGTAGCCCTAACTAAGAAAATTAGTTCCTCATAGTCATGGTAATGAAAATTCCCCTAAAGTCACTTGGCAAGACCCCCATGTCAACTTCAACTCCAAACCATCCCATGTGATGACCTTCATTGTTTTGCTCCACTGCCCACAACTTATCTTTGGCTTGAACTTCTTGTATGCATATGCTTTTGACAAACAAAAAAAAATTATGCCTTTGCCTAATTTGTCTTGTTTTTGCTTCACAAGAACTACTATAGCCACCCAAAGCGCCATTTTTCTTCTTTTCATGCCTAAAGATTAAAACAATATAATTTAGTGCATCTAACCATTTCAATCATACAAAATCTAAGGAATATATTATTAAAAAAATATATACAAATATAAACATATCACGTGGCACTGTTATGTGCTTGATTTCAGGGCGTGACAAAAAATATAACTGATATGACGATAGGATAAACGATGCTAGTGAAAGTAGAGTTGAGGGACTAAAACAATTATTTTTGAAGTCAATGACCAAACTGCTATGCGAATCAAGCACAAGTTCAAGAACTATTAATCCTGAAAATCCATTTCAAAATGAGTCAAGTCAAGTGTCTTGTTGATTCTCAAAACTAGATGACCAGTAGTGGCCCAACTTAAGGATGAGGTGTGATCTGATCTGCCTTCAGCAATCACTTCCTTTTGCTAGGCTGAGGATGATCTACAAAAAGAAAAAAGGGAAGAGCAGTAGGTAAGACCTAAGGCACTGGTGTGATACCAGCCTAAGGCCCTCCGATGCTAAAGTTTGCTAAATGAGAGAGGAGTTAGCTATTGACAAAGCACATACATAAGTGTCAAATAAGTGTTACCTTGTACCTTAGGAGTAAAGGGCTCTATTTATAGAGGTTTAGGATGTCATCTTGGTGTAAACTTTCTATGTGGGACTCGTGGGAATAGCCTGAGAGGCTGCCATGTGTCCTACTGAATATATCAATGAGGAACTTGAGAGATTCTTACAAGATATCTTTTGGGAGATTGAATCGGCAGGGGTTGCCGAGGGCACCTGCCAACTGTCAATCGTGAGCCTGCGCGGTTGGGCTGGCTAAAGCACAATTGGTAGGCGGTGCCAATGACATCGACCAATTGCGAAGCTGGGTTGGCCAATGTGGGCTTATGGGCCCCGATTGGCAAAGAATTGGTAGGTGGTGTCTAGGGGCGTCTACCGATTGTAAGGTCGGGTTGGCTAGCGTGGGTTCTTAGGCCCTTAGTGTTAGGTTCTTGCCATGTGTCATGTCATGAGAGGCCGGTCAGATATGGTACAAACATGTCTTGTGAGAGAAACCCTTATGCAACGGGAATAACACTTTTTACTATCTTGACCAATAACGCAATGACACGTGGGGAATAGCAAAATACTGTTATTCCAAATACAAGTAAGTTTTTTGGCTAGAGTTGACCTCTACTATTTAGAAAAATGGTGTGAATATAATATATATATGAGGTAGATCCAACTTCCAAGTGGTGAACTTATGGATTATCCCAAATCCTAATTATCTTCTAAAATATCAAACGGGTCCACACCCCAATGACTTGGTCCCCCTCCATCACCCACAGCCATGATCCTTCCTTATAATTCATGAGTGCAGCAGAACCTTTCTAAAGAGCCAAAAAGAAAGGCAACTGGCACAGTACAAATGGGTCACTGTTCATCAGCAGCTCTGTTAGCGATGGTGGCGTTGACCCTGTTGACCACAACTCACGGCATCAACAACAGCAGCGGCGGCAGGGCCACGTGGTGCGACGGCCTCTCCGACCCATCATGCCTCATTGCAAACAGCGACTTGGACGGCATGGAGTTCCTGATGGAATCGGAAATCAGCAGAAGGATCTTGGCCGGAGGTCCAAGTGTAAGCAGACCGGCACTGGATCCCAGCAAAGCGGCGTCGTGTGATCGGAGGGGTTTCCCTCCTTGCCATCCCGGCTCCAACAGAAATCCCCCGGCGCCCAGTTGCGATAAGACAAGGTACAATCGCGAGTGCTACCGCAATTGACGACCCAAACGACGTAATTTCATCTTCTGCCAAATTTGGGTGCGTCTTGTGTGTGCTAGGTTTGGTGGTTGTAAGTAGTAAGTACAGAATAAAGGTTCAATTGATATGGTGTGTTCATTGTATCAATGAAATTGTTGTAAGTGTGTATTGATTCTCTTGTGTTGTGTTCATGTTTATTGTCAATGATTTGGGGTTCAGATTCTGTGTAGTTTTTCTTGTTCCATCTGCAAAGAAAATAAATGAGAAAGATTAAAAAAATGGCCATTGGTGGTGTGCGTCTGTGTTGAGTGGGTATGCACTGCAATTTGCAAGGATAGTGAAATCCTAACCAGACTTTATTAAATACTAAACTCGGTTTTGTCTATTTGGCTCTCTTACCAAATTATATCCATTCCATCAAATTACTATTAAAAAAATGTTTCCTTAATAGCAATGTGGACTGTAGGAAGACCGGGCGGAGGAGGGGGATGAGCAGGGGAAATCGAGTTTTTGAAGAAGGGATAGGTCATGTGGTGGCTGGTGGGACAGCTATAGGGGATGGTGACTAATAGGAGAAGGGATAGGTCACTTGTGAGTTTTTGAAGTCAGTCAATTGGGATTTTAGATGATTTTAAAAGACTTCGAAAATTCTGGTGTGGCTCTAGAATACATACACTACCGGACAAGTAAGCTACAGCTTTTGTTCTCCATGGGGTCCACTGGATTTCACTGGCTTCAGCCAACACCGTACAATTGTGAACTTGGTTGCAATGCTCTGGCCGGGCTTCGCCTTTTGGAGCCCAATCTGGTTCCATTGGAGATGGGTTTTTGAGGTGGGTTGCTATACTTTACAGTCTCCATTGGGCCCTGCCCTAAAAGTCCAACCACCCCCAAAGGATTTCATAACACAAATTCTTTTTTTCTCGGTGGTAGAGGATGAACAACATTTCTCCATCTTTCAAGACATTCTATTTTTTTTTTTCAGTTCAAATCAATTGTACTTGTTGGGTTTTTTCTTTCTTTTAACATGATTTTATTGTTTCTTGATGATAATTTTCTTGTCATTAGTGTTGGGGTTTTTGCTTTAAAGAGAGTAGTTAGAGCATCTCCAATAAACTATCTATCCTCTCATTCCTATATACTTTGGCTAAAAATAAGGAAAATCCTCCTCCAGCAGACTCCCTACTTAGCTCTCTATTTTGGAGAACCAACTTTTGGCTCTCTACATGTAGCAAGGAGGAGAGAGAATTTGGCTAGGATGAGAGAGAAAAAAGAAGAGAGAGAGATAGAGACATTTGGAAGGTTGGTGGGGTTGGGTTCTACTTTTTTTAAATAAATATATTTGATTTACAAGAGAAAGAGGAAGAAAGAGAAAGAGAAAATAATAATAAAATATTTTAAATTAGCCAAAATAAAGAACATTATTGGAGGAAACACTTTTTAAGTGGTTTGCTATAATAGCTTTCTAACCATTTTAGCTAGAATTTCGCTAAAATTTGGAGACTCTCCTGGAGATGCTCTTAGCTGATTAGATTACTTTCTCATTAGTTGCTCTTGTAAGTAATTAGTTAGAGTTGTTGTAACAGCTTGTACATGTGGCTTTATCTATTGTATAGAGTAGACAAGTGTTAAATACTCTTCTGTAATATTTTCTTAATTAATTAATGAGAATCACAATTTCCTTTATGCTATCATATGCCTTTTCAATCCTCTCTACCTTTTCTTCCAACCCGTGATTTTCACAGCAACCAAGCTTTTCTCATCAACCAAACAGTTTCTTCCGCTCTAGTTCTATGATTTCCATGGCTTCTGAGACCAATTCTTCTTCTTCTGCACCTTCTCTCTCTCACATCGCCTTCAATCCCTGCTTTTGCGAATGTTATTGTTCAAAACATTGCACGCATGATCCCGATCAAACTTCAAGCTGGCAATTATTTGTTGTGGAATAATCTTTTTCTTCCTGTTCTTCGCAAATACAAGCTCCTTGGCCTTCTCACTGGTGCTGATATGCGGCCATCGAGGAAAATTTTTAATGCTGCTGGTTGCACTGTTGATAATCATGCCTTCGATCTGTGGTATGATAAGGATCAATTGCTCATGATCTGGATCATCTCCACTTTCTCGATGGATTTGCTATCTCATACAGTCGGCATTGAGTATTCTCGTGATCTCTGGGAGATGTTGGAAAAATGTTTTGTTGGAGTCTCTCGTGCAAATGTTCATCATCTTCGTCAGTGTCTTCAAAATCTTGTCAAGGGGGATTTGTCTATGGTTTCCTATCCTCAACAGATGAAAGAAATTGTCGATGGCTTGGGCGATGCTGGTCAACCTCTAACTGATGATGATTTGGTGGCTTACATTCTTGTCGGTCTCTCTGAAGAGTACGATTCCTTCGTCACTTATATTGAAACTCATTGGGAGAAAGTTTCCTTTGATGAACTTCTCGGTCGTGAAGCTGCTCTTCTGAAGCGCAAACTTCGATCCAATTCATCTGGACCTACCGAACCGTTTCATGCTTATGCCGCCACTCCTCGTTCTTCACAGCACTTTTCTCACTCGCGTGGTTCCTACAACTCTAACTTTTAGCATCGAGGTTTTCCTCCCACTCGTGGTCTGCTTCCGTCACCGCCTTCCAATTTTGCCCTAAATTTTTCTTCTCCTCCACAATTTGGTGCGCAAGGGTTTCACAGCCCTAATTTTTCTCCAAATTCGAGCCCTGGGGGGTGAATTCCAATCCATGAGGTTCTTCGTTCAATTCTGCTAGTTTTTCTTCTAGCCCTGTTCTTGTGTGTCAGTCCTGCAACAAGAAAGGTCATGCCGCTAACACTTGTCACAAATTGGGCCGTCAGCTCAATGCTTCCTACAGTTCTTCATCTTCTGGGCCATTTACTAGATACTATGTTAATCCACAATCTGCTGCTACCTCTTCTTATTGGATTGTTGACTTTGGCGCTACTGCTTATGTGACTGCTGCCAATCAGCACCTGCAGAATTCTTCTCCATACACTGGCTCTGACTCTTTGCAAGTTGGTAATGGTAATTGCTTACCAATTTCTCACATTGGTTTCACCCACATACACACTTCTTCTATTTTTACTTTAAAGGATGTGTTACATGTTCCCTCTATTAAACACAATTTGTTATAAGCAAATAAGTTTCTTCGCGACAACTCTTGTTCACTAACGTTCTATCCTGAGTCCTTCACAATTAAGGACTTAGCTACGAAGAGGATGCTCTTCCAAGGTCTCAGTGAGGATGGTGTCTATCGACTTTTTGCTGGTATTGCAGCTTCTTTTTCCTCAAGCCCTTCAACTGCTTTTCTGGTTAATAAATGTGATATCTTCACTTGGCACAGAAGGTTGGGTCATCCTCACTTTTCTCTTTTTTGTAATATTGTTAGTGACAATCATCTACCTGTTAGTGGTGACTTGTCTAAGTCCTTAATATGTTCTGATTGTATGGTTGGGAAAGCTCATAAGCTTCCTTTTGTTCGTTCTGCACATAAGTCCACCAAGCCTTTGGAGCCTGTGCATTCGGATGTCTGGGTCCCAGTCCCACTATTTCAGCTCTTGGTTATAAGTGCTATGTTTTGTTTTTGGATGATTATACTAAATATGGCTTGTTGTATCCTTTGAAATATAAATAAGATGTGCTTGCTACTTTTAAAGTGTTTAAGACTAAGTTAGAAAACTTGTTGAACTCTAGGATCAAGATTTTGAAGAGTGATTCGGGTGGTGAATACTTAAGTACTGCTTTTTAAGATTTTTTAAACACAGAGGGTATTGTGCATCAGCTGAGTTGTTCACACACCCATGAACAAAATGGTAGTGCCAAACGAAAGCACATGCATATTGTTGAGCTTGCTAGGACATTGTTTGCTTCTTATTTCGTTCCACATCATTTTTGGGTAGATGCTTTTCAATTGGTTACCCTTTACTTCTTTTACATCGTCTCCTTGGGAATTGTAAACACACTCCAAATTATAATACTTTGAAGGTGTTTGGTTGTCTATGTTTTCCTTGGTTACAACCATATAGTTCTTCAAAGTTAGATCCTAAAAGCAGGCCTTGTGTCTTTCTTGGATTTAGCTTAAATCATTATGATTATAGATGTCCAGATATTTTTACTGGCAAGCTTTTTATTCCAGGCATGTTCTTTTTAATGAAACATCTTTTCCTTTTGCAACCCAAGCTTCCCCAGTTTCATCTTCTCTTGTCTCTACTTCTTCAGTTCCTATTTCTCTTACTTTTTCTTTCTCGATTTCTCATACTTCTCCTTCCTATTCACAATCTCATAGTTCCATTTCCCATTCTTCTGAATATATTCATTCCTTACCTTTTCAGGAACCAATCCTTCATTCTTTCCTTTCTCAGGAATCTGTAGTTCCTTCTTCTCCTAATCGTCATCCAATGGTTACTTGATCAAAAAATGGAATTTTTAAGCCCAAGGCTCTCTCTGCAACTAAGCACCCTATTCCTACTTCTGTTCAATCTACTGCTTTAATTCCTTATACTCCTCAGACTTAAAGCAAGCAGCAACCCACAAAGTTTGGATTGATGCCATGGCCTCTAAAATTGCTGCTCTTCAAAAGACTCAAACATGGACCCTGGTACCTCCTAATCCCTCTTATAATTTAGTGGGTTGTAAGTTTTGGAACCAAATTTAAATCTGATGGGTTTGTTGATAAGTTCAAAGCTCGATTGGTTGCTAAAGGGTACAATCAACAAGAAGGTATTGATTTTCATGAAACTTTTAGCCTCATGGCACAACTTGTTACTATTTTCCTTTTGTCATCCTTACCTGTGCAATATGATTGGTTCATCAATCAACTTGATGTCAGTAATGCTTTTCTGCATGGGTTCTTGAAGGAGAATGTGTATATGAGCAAACCACCAGGTTTTTCACGATCCCTCCAAGCCTGATTTTGTTTGCAAGTTGAATAGGAGTTTGTATGGTCTTAAGCAGGCGCCCCGAGCTTGGTATGAGGAGCTCTTTAAAGCACTTATTTCTCTAGGTTTCAGATCATCACAAGTTGATTCCTCCTTGTTTATAAAGAGTGGCCTTCTTTAATCCTAGTTTTGGTTGATGTCGACAACATTATTGTGACTGGGAACAATAATGTAGCATGTCAAGCTCTTATTCAGCAACTCAGTGAGAAATTTCCTGTCAAAGACTTAGGCTTTTTGCATTATTTTCTTGGGTTAGAGGTTAAACACACTGCTTGTGGTTTATTCTTGTCTCAAACTAAGTATGCTTGTGATCTTCTCCAACGAACTGATTTTCTTGGTGCCAAACCATGTGCCACTCCCTTGGGGTCCTACAAAATAGACAATTCTGGAATGTTGCTTTCTAATCCTACTTTCTATAGATCTACCGTTGGTGCTCTTCAATACTTGACATGGACACGGCCTGATTTGTCCTTTGATGTTAATCTGGTATGTCAACATCTTCACCAACCTCGCACTAATCATTTAGGTGTTGTAAAGAGAATCCTTAGATATCTTAAAGGTTCTCTTGATATGGGAATCTGTTTTCGCAAAGGCCCCCTTGTAATGCAGCCCTATTATGATGCAAATTGGGCAGGATGCCCCTTAGATCGTCGATCTACTAGTGGTTGGTGTGTTTTTCTTGGTTCAAATTTAATTTCTTGGTCTGCCAAGAAGCAACCAATAGTTTCTCACAGTTCTACTAAATCTGAGTACATAGGTACTGCCATGACTGCTGTTGAACTTGTTTACATTGCTATGTTGTTTAAAGATATTGATTTTTAGCTTCCTTCTGCTCCGTTACTTTGGTGTGATAATCAATCTGCCCTTCATTTAGCTTCTAATCCTGTTTTTAGTGCTCGCACAAAACATATTGAGGTTGATTATCATTTCATTAGGGAGTTGGTTCAGCATGGTATTCTTCATTTAAAGTTTGTTGACACTACTAATCAGCTCGCAGATGTCTTTACAAAATCTCTTCCTTCTACCCGACATGCTTATCTTCGTTCCAAGCTTACAATGTGCAATCTCCACTTCAGCTTGCGGGGGGCTAAAGAGAGTAGTTAGCTGATTAGATTAGTTTGTCATTAGTTACACTTGTAAGTAATTAGTTAGAGCTGTTGTAACATCTTGTATAGGTGGCTTTATCTATTGTATAGAATAGAAATGTGTTAAATACTCTTATGTAATCTTTTCCCAATTAATTAATGAGAATCACAATTTCCTTTATACTTCTTATTAGGGTTTAGGTTGGGTTTGGGATTTATACTTGGTAAAATTCCTACACCAGTTTTTGTAGACTTTTTATTTTCCTGAGTGATTCAATTTTATCATAGTGCGAAGAAAAGTTAAAGAATTTTCCTTATCAACACATAACATTGTTTATACTAGATTTTTTTGTACATTGTTCGCTTCATAGAAAAGATTATCCTCTAAAATCCAAATTGGCTACACAACCCCTAAGTTGTCATATTTTATTTTATAATCGTTTTTATTATTTCTTAACATAAATTTAATATTTTAAACAAATAGAGTATTCTAATTAATTATAATAGCGATTAAATTGCCGATGTGGTCTGCCCAGTGAAAAGGACCTTGACTTGTAGACCATGATCTCATGTTAAGAAAAAGCGTTTAAATTAAAAATACACATACTAAATTAGTTAAATGAGTACAACAAAGAGATCATTTTGGTATTTAAACACTAAATTATCATAGATGGAGTTATATAGAGCCCCAACAAAAAAACCTCTAAAGCCACTCCACCATCTAATTTTTTTGGTTGGAACCCTCGAGTTTGTGATAGTTTACAAATACGTACACACCCCACTCAAGTGAACTTTACAAATTACTTGGAATCCTCCGTAATTTGTTGTACATAAAATGTTTATCCTAATTAATTGTCACTAGTTCTGGTTTAGTGAAACAAGAGGTTAATTTGTAGATTAGTCATCTTATATACAAAGTCCTATAACACCGTAACAGTGTGTGTGAGAAAAACCCTTATATACGTAAAATTGTTGTGGTCATCAGCAATAATTCTAAGTCCTTTGGAAAGACCCAAAGTTTATAAACAAATAAGAAGCAAATTTAAAAAAAAACATAAAGAAAAATGAAGTTAGTAACTTTTATTTTTAAAAAAACAAACGAAGGGATCCAGGTGTAGCTGGTGCACCACTGTTGTTGGTCTTGAATTGAATCGATATTGGCCAGTCGTGAATCTCGTGCTGATCTATACAAACAATCAATGTTTTGGCTCTTTATGCACAGGAATTTATAATTTGAAATTATTTTTTTAAAATGTATGATTTATTTAATCCACGTGGCGTCATATTATTGGATATGTGGGACCCACATATGTGCCACATCGTCAACTTAACAAACTTTTTGACGGAATCTAACGGCAATGACTATTTGTGAGGACACTTATTAGCCTTAAGGACCATAAATGACAAAAAATAATAATAATAAAGGACGCAATATGATAGTTTTGCAAAATTCAAGGACATTTTGTGATAATAAGCCATATATGAATCAAAGATTCATTTGAACAAATGCAAATTTTCCCCCAATTATTTCATAGTCTATGCTCTAGGATTTCCACACGTTACTTTGGCATTCCTTCTCACCTAACTTGTTCACTCTGAGCACAAAAAGATTAAAAAGCAAAACCTATCTTTATACTTTGCCAATATATGTACACTTGTACAATTTTATACAAATAAAACGCACCCAAGAACTGCATTTGCAACATTCTTGTCATTTCTATGTTCATGTAAAATATAAAATTGTGACGTACGTACGTATGTACATCAACAACTGTATGTATGTTACTAAAACTTATATATAATTAGACGTACGTATGTCAAAAAGCATAGCCATATTATTACTTTCTGAGTAAGCAAAGGTTTTTGGGGTGCTTTGTATGTAAGGAGTCATTTTCTATTAACCGTAAATCATATACATTATAAATCAATAATAGCGTAAAAAGAAAAATTTATGGAGGGACCTTACTGTGCTTTATAGCAAAACAGTGTTATCCCTATTATCAGTATAAAAAATTTGCTAGGGTTGACCTCTACTATTTAGAAAAATGGTGTGAAAAATAAAAATATGAGGTGGATACAACTTCCAAGTAGCAAACTTCTGATTATCTTCTAAACTATCAAACGGCGCAATAACAACTTGGTCCTCCTCGTTCACCCACACCCATGATCCTTGTAATTGATGAGTGCAACAGCACCTTTCAAAAGTGCAAAAAAGAAAAGCTACTGGCACATACAAATGGGTCACTGTTCATCAGCAGCTCTGTTAGCGATGGTGGCGTTGACCCTGTTGACCACAACTCACGGCATCGACAACAGCAGTGGCGGTAGGGCCACGTTGTGCGACGGCCTCACCGACCCATCATGCCTCATTGCAAACAGCGACTTGGACGGCATGGAGTTCTTGATGGACTCGGAAATCAGCACAAGGATCTTGGCCGGACGTCAAAGTTTAGCCAGAGCGGCACTGAATCCCAGCAAAGCGGCGTCGTGTGATCGGAGGGGTTTCCCTCCTTGCCATCCCGGCTCCAACAGAAATCCCCCGGCGCCCAGTTGCGAAAAGACAAGGTACAATCGCGAGTGCTACCGCAATTGACGACCCAAACGACGTAATTTCATCTTCTGCCAAATTTGGGTGCAACTTGTGTGTGCTAGGTTTGGTGGTTGTAAGTAGTAAGTACAGAATAAAGGTTCAATTGATATGGTGTGTTCATTGTATCAATGAAATTGTTGTAAGTGTGTATTGATTCTCTAGTGTTGTGTTCATGTTTATGATTTGGAGATTCAATTGTTTTTACTTTTCTGTGTAACGAAGGATTTGAGAAGAAGAGCAAATAATTTGTCAATGATTTAGGGTTGAGATTCTGTGCAGTGTTTCTTGTTCCATCTGCCAAGAAAATAAATGAGAAAGATTAAAAAAAGGGCCAGTGGTGGTGTGTGTCTGTGTTTATGGGTATGCATTGCAAGGATAGTGAAATCCTAACCAGACTTTATTAAATACTAAACTCTGTTTTGTCTATTTGGCTCTCTTACCAAATTATATCCATTCCATCAAATTACTATTAAAAAATATTTCCTTAATAGCAATGTGGGGAAGACCGAGCGGAGGAGGGGGATGATCAGGGGAAATCGAGGGTGGTGGGCCGATCTCCATAGCCTCATGGTGGCTGGTCGGACAGCTATGGTGGTTGGGGTGGTGACTGTAATAGGAGACGGGATAGGTTACTCGTGAGTTTTTGAAGTCAGTCAATTAGGATTTTAGATGATTTTAAAAGACTTTAAAAATTCTGGCGTGGTGGCTCTAATACGTGCACTACCGGGCAAGTAATCTACAGCTCTTGTTCTGCATGGGGTCCACTGGGTTTCACGGGATTCAACTAACTCCATACAATTGTGAACTTGGTTGCTATACTTTGTAGCCCTAAGGTGGTTCAGCCCCAATTAGAGTTTTCATTGGGCCCTACCCTAAAAGTCCAGCCACCCCCAAGGATTTCATAACACAATATTTTTTGTATGGCTTAAGTGCTACAATGCTTCCTGAAATATTGGTCAATTCTCACTAAACCCCCTCAAAGTTAAAGTGATCCACTTTGTCCTCTTGATCGATATTTTGCGTCTCACTTTGCCCCTCACTGTCAAGTCTATTAAAAATTCAGTTAAAAATGCTAGAGTGACACTAATGGGACCCACTATTTTGCTAACTAAGTGCTATGTGTGTAAAAAAAATTAAAAATTAAAAATTATCTTTTAAAAAAAACTAAATTTAAATATTAAAAATAAAAATAATACTTTAAAACAAAAAAAACCCCAATTCCCCTCCTCCAACCCCATTATCTCTTCCCAGTCGCCATCACCACAACCACAATCACCCCGACTCAAACCCTGATCTCTCTTCTCTTCCTATCGTCGACTCTCTCTCATCTTATCCCTCTCTTCCCATTTCTCTTTTTTAACGGAAAAAAAAAACCATTTCTCTTTCCTACCGGTGTTGCCCTCCACCACAACGTTGCCACCGCCATCATGTTAGTGAGATTCTAATTTAATTAGGAGGTTTATTTCCTAGTTTATTAGGACTATATTTCTTTCCTTTTGTACATATATTGTGTAATTAGAATTTTATCCTTTTTCTTAGTTTGGCCCTACTAGGGTTACATCATTGTATTATAAATACCTCATTTTGGAGAATGAAATACAACTTGAAAATATTCTACCCATATTGTTTGACTTGGAATCACAGCCAACTTTTTTGGTGACCTGTGTGTTGTACCCACCCATGTTCTAGCCCTATATTTTTTCTACATGTGTCGTGTGTGCCCTCCTGGGTTTGTGACTTGTGCTGTAGTGTTCATGCCTCTACTGTGTTCGTGCCATTCTTGTCTTTGTGCATCTACCGTATTTGTGCATTTGCTATGTTCCGCTGTGTACTCTGTCGTGTTTGTGCCTCTACTGTCTTTGTGCATCTGTTGTATTTGTATCTCTGCTGTGTTTCGTTGTATACTCTGTCGTGATCTGTTGAGTTTTCTGCTGCAGTCATGGGTGATAACTCCATTGTTGGTGTTGTTGCGGCTTCTTCTGCAAAAATTGTGTGTTTCTGACTCTATTCCAGGTACTGGCTTCAATACTTGAATAATTGACATTGGTGCTTCTGATCATATGACTTATGATGCTAAATTTTTTGATGAGTTGTCTAGTAACACTCATGACCTATACATAACTAATGTTAATGGCTTGCCTTCACCAATTACTGGTGAGGGCACAATCTTTCTCATCCTACTTTGTCATTGTCTCGTGCATTATTAGTTCCTAATATCCATTGTAACTTGTTATCTGTTAGTCGATTACTTGATACACTTAATGCTTTTGCTACGTTCTATCTTACACATTGCACTTTTCAGGATCTCAAGACTCACGAGACGATTGGGCATGGTAAACGGATAGGGGTTATATTAATTAGGAGGTTTATTTCCTAGTTTATTAGGACTATATTTCTTTCCTTTTGTACAGATATTGTGTAATTAGGATTTTATATTTTTTCCTAGTTTGACCCTACTAGGGTTACATCCTTGTATTATAAATACCTCCTTTTGGAGAATGAAATACAACCTGAAAATATTCTATCCATATTGTTTGACTCCTTATCCATCCTCTGTGCCTCCCCTCCCCTCCTCCATCATTGTCAGCATATTTTCTCTCTCACTCTCGTCTCTCCCTCGCTTTCCCCATGAGTCACGCCGACAACAATGCAAGCGGCAACCTTGCCAACTTCCATATTAGAGTTGGCTGACATCAGATCTGGATATTAGCTTTTAATATTGCCGATGCGAAGAGAGAGGGAAAGAGAAGGAGAGAAGAGAAAGAAAGAGAGCCAGTGAGATTAGAAAGAGAGAGCAGGAGAGATGAGAGAGAAAGATAGGGGGATTTGAGTACTCTCTTTTCAAGCAATATTTTAAAGCAAGAAAAAGAGAGAGTGAGTGAGAGAAAGAGTGAGAGTAGTCCGTTTGCTCCAGCTCCAAGTACTGCTACCAGATTTATAAATCGAATATCTTCTAAATAATACAACTTGAACAACAATGGACTAGTTTATAATAGCTAAACATAAACTAATCCTACTTTAGAATAGAAAAAAGAAACAGGAAACTCAAAGATTAATCCTAGTTCGGGCAAGTTTTTTCTCCTGCGAGAGAGGAAGAGAGAGGAGCAGCATTATTTTATTTTTAATAGTTAAATTAAGTTTTTTAAAAGACAATTTTTAATTTTTAATTTTTTTTCTTCATACATGGCACTTATTAGTTTAGCAAAATAGTGGGTCACATTGGTGCCACGTCAGCATTTGTAACGGAATTTTTAACGGACTTGATGGTGAGGGGTAAAATGAAACACAAAGCATCAACCAAGGGGGCAAAGTGGGTCACTTTAACTTTAAGGGGGTTTAGTGGGAATTGACCAATTTTCGGAGGCATTGTTGCACTTAAGCCTTTTTTTTTCTCGGTGGTAGGAGACGAACAACATTCCTCCATCTTTCAAGGTACTCATTTTTTTCACTTCATATCAATTGTGCTTGTTGGATTTTTATTTTCTTTTTCCATGATTTTATTGTTTCTTGATGATAATTTTCTTGCCATTAGTGTTGGGGTTTTGCTTCTTATTAGGGTTTAGGTTGTATTCCGGATTTATACTTGGTAAAATTCCTACACAAGTTTTTGTAGACCTTTTATTTTCCTGAAAGATTCTATTTTATCATAGTGGTAAGAGAAGTTAAAGAATTTTCCTTATCAACACATAACATTGTTTATATTAGTTTTTGTACATTGTTTGCTTCATAGAAAAGATTATCCTCTAAAATCCTAATTGGCTACACAATCCCTAAGTTTTTATGTTTTATTTTATAACCGTTTTTATTATTTCATAAATTTAATATTTTAAACAAATAGAGTATTCTAATTAATTATAATAGCGATTAAATTGCCGATGTGGTCTACCCAACGAAAAGAACCTTGACTTGCAAACCATGATCTTACGTTAAGAAAAAGCGTTTAAATTAAAATACACATACTAAATTAGCTAAATGAGTACAACACTAAATTATCATAGATGGAGTTATGTAGGCCGCGCCCCACCCTCCTAATTTTTTTGGTTGGAACCCTCAAGTTTGTGATAATTTACAAATACATACACACCCCACTCAAATAAACTTCACAAATTACTTGGAATCCTCCGTAATTTGCTGTACATAAAATGTTTATCCTAATTAATTGTCACTGGGTCTAGTTTAGTGAAAAGGGCGTTAATTTGTAGATTAGTGATTTCATATACAAAGTCCTAAAACACCGTAACAGTGGGTGTGAAAAAAACCCTTCTATACGTAAAATTCTTGCCGTCATCAGCAATAATTCTAAGTCCTTTGGAAAGACCTAAAATTTATAAACAAATAAAAAGCAAATTAATAAAAAAAACATAAAGAAAAATGAAGTTTGTAACTTTTATTTAAAAAAAACCACAAACGAAGGGACTGCAGGTGTAGCTAGTGCATCACTATTGTTGGTCTTGAATTGAATCGATGTTGGCTAGTCATGAATCTCGTGTCGTGCTGATCTATACAAACAACTAATGTTTTGGCTGTTTATGCACAGGAATTTATATTTTTCTTCCACCAATACGTAAATAATGCTATACACGTGTCAACCTGTAGTTTGTGTTTTAGAAAGAGATGTTCTTTTTCTATATATATATCTATATATAAATGCGCGCGCTTGAGGAATGCATGCAGCACAAGAAGAAGAAAAAATTGAGTCACTCAGAAGCAGCTCTGTCAGCCATGAAGGTGATGATGGCGGTGATGGTCATGGCCCTGCTGTTGTTGATGCCGTGAGTTGTCCTTTTAGAGCCCAATGTGGTTCCATTGGAGATGGATTTTTGTGGTGGGTTGGTATACTTTGCAGCCCTAAAGTGGCTGAGCCCCAATTAGAGTCTCCATTGGGCCCTGCCCTAAAAGTCCAGCCACCCCCAAGGATTTCATAACACAAATTTTTTTTTCTCGGTGGTAGGAGATGAACAGCATTTTCTCCATCTTTCAAGGCACTCTTTTTTTTTTTTTTTTTTGTTTTTTTGATTTTATTGTTTCTTGATGATAATTTTTCTTGCCATTAGTGTTGGGGGTTTAGGTAGGGTTCAGGATTTATACTTGGTAAAATTCCTACACCAGATTTTGTAGTCCTTTTATTTTCCTGAGTGATTCTATTTTATCATAGTGCGAAGAGAAGTTAAAAAAATTTCCTTATCAACACATAACATTGTTTATACTAGGTTTTGTATATTGTTTGCTTCATAAAAGAGATTATCCTCTAAAATCCTAATTGGCTACACAACCTCTAAGTTTATTTTATTTTATAACCGTTTTTATTATTTCTTAACATAAATTTCATATTTTAAACAAATACAGTATTCTAATTAATTATAATAGTGATTAAATTTTCAATGAGGTCTACCCAACGAAAAGGCATTGACTTACAAAACATGATCTCGTGTTAAGAAAAAATGTTTAAATAAAAAATATAGAAACTAAATTAGCTAAATGAGTACAACAATAAAGAAATCATTTTGCTATAGATCGCCCCCCCCCCCCCCCCCCCCTCCTCCACTCCACCACAAAAAAACCACAAAAAAAAAAAAAAAAAAAACCTTGAACCTTTACAAATGAATTTTTCAAATTACTTGGAACCCTCAGTAATTTTTGTACATAAATTGTCTATCTTAATTAATTGTTAATAGGTTTGGCCTAGTAAAAAAATGTTTACCCTCATATTGTCACATGACACTGAGACAATTTGTGAGTAAACATCCTCCATCATCCTATCCTAACTTTGGTTAAAAAAATATATCCTCATTAGGTAGCTTTTTGTTGTGTTGTTCCCTAATACGTAAGATTGCTGCCGTCATCAGCAATAATTCTTGTTAGAGTTTTGTATAGGTTTTGAAGAAGAAGAGAAAAACGATATGCAAGAGAAAACCGAGAGCTTAGCTAAAACAAAACTTCTGTATTTTTGTATTGTATATTCTAAAACTTTCGGGCAAGCACAGTGTGTGCTATATGACTGTTAGAGAAATAGCTGGATTCTCTTACATCACTTGAGAATCACAGCCTTACATCCAAAACTGCCTTCTAAGATCTTTACACGTGGCTATAGCCACTTAACACTAACTGACGCCTCACACTTGCCTATTTTAGAGACTAAGTGAATACACCATTTCAGCTTAGGGACTTTAATCACACTCTCATCAGCTCACCACTTATATTTCAACACTCCCCTTTAAGTTGTGAGCTGATTTCACACCAAGTTTCTCTCTGAGATAGCAAAAATGATCCTTAGCCAATGCCTTAGTAAAAATGTCTGCTAGTTGCTCATTTGTGGGACAATAAATCAGATCCACAGTTCCTTCTTGCAAAGCATCTTTAATAAAATGATACCTCCAATCGATATGTTTTGTTTTCTGATGAAACACAGGATTCCTTGTAATGGCAATGGCTGAAATGTTGTCACAGTGGAGAGGTGTAGCTTCTGTTTGAAGTTCTCCAAAGTCTTCTAGGACAAATCTCAACCAAATAGCTTGTGTTGTTGCTTCAGAGGCACTGATGTATTCAGCTTCTGCAGTAGAGAGTGCAACACAATTTTGCTTGACTGAGGCCCAAGCAAACACTCCACTCCCAAAAGAAAAAGCGTATCCAGATGCGCTCTTGCTATCATCCACTGAGCCACTCCAATCGCTGTCACAATAGCCAATTAGAACTGCCCCTTTTCCTTTCACATACTCCAAACCATAATCCAAGGTTCCTTTTACATATCTAAGGACACGTTTTGCTGTTCCAAGGTGTTTGCTAGTGGGACAATGCATAAACCTTGCAAGCAGACTAGCTGCAAACATAATGTCGGGTCTGGTAGCTGTGAGGTATAGCAGACTTCCAACAATCCTTCTGTAGTGTTCTTCACTTGCCAAGCCACTCCCATCATCTTTACTTAGCTTCTCTGAGGTGACTAGAGGAATAGAAACCGGCTTACACTCATTCAAGCCAAATCTGCTCAACAGAGTTGTTGCATACTTCTTCTGATGAATGAATATGCTTGTTGGTGTTTGAATCACTCCCATTCCCAAGAAGTGATGCAAGAGTCCCAGATCAGTCATTTCATACTTCTCCTTCATGTCCTTCTTGAAATCTTCTAGCATTTCATGATCATTTCCAGTGTAGACTATATCATCTACATAAATGGAAACTATCAGGATATTTTCTGCACCTCTTGCTTTGACATAAAGTGTAGCTTCACTTTGACTCTTTGTAAATCCACACTCAGCAAAATAACCATCAATTTCACTATACCAAGCTCTTGGCGCCTGTTTCAAGCCATATAGAGCTTTGTGTAGTTTGTAAACCTTGCTTTCACTTCCTTTTACCACAAATCCTTCCGGCTGGTCTACATACACTTCTTCCTCTAAAATACCATTTAGAAAAGCTGACTTGACATCCAATTGGTACAGCTGCCAACCCTTCTCAGCTGCAAGGGCAATCAAGGTTCGAATAGTGTCTAATCTAGCCACTGGTGCAAACGTTTCATTGTAGTCCACCCCTGGTTTTTGTGAGTATCCCTTGGCCACCAGTCTTGCTTTATTCTTCTGCACTGAGCCATCCAAATTTAGCTTAGTTTTAAACACCCATTTAACTCCAATAACTGGTTTTTCCATAGGTCTGTCAACAAGTTCCCATGTCTTATTCTTTTCTATCATATTCAACTCATCTTTCATTGCCTTCAACCATGATTCCTCCTTCACAGCTTCTTCAAACTTCTCAGGCTCCATTGTGCACAGGTTGCATTGTGCCAAAATGTCATCCAACTTCCTCCATTTCAATGGTGTATGATCGAAGGTCTGAGTATCTTCCAACCTACTGCTTTCCTTGCTTGATTCTCCATAGGAAGCTGCTGAGTTTCCAGCAGTGAAACCAGAATTTTGAGGCCCTATAGGTGTCTCAAACGAATCCACTTGAGAATTTCTAGGCTGTTCCTCAAAGTTTATCATAACCACAGAATTGTCAGACACTTCTTTCCAATTCCAGCTTGTTCCTTCATCAAATACAACATCCCTTGATAAGAGTAGTTTTCTAGTGATAGGATCAAACACTCTATAACCCTTCTCACATGTTGCATATCCAACAAAAACTCCCCTTGTGCTTTTGGCATCCAATTTCTGTCTATTCTCCTCTGGTTTATGCACAAAACACACACTGCCAAACACTTTTAAATGAGCAACACCTGGTTTTCTGGTGCTATAGGCCTCAAAAGGAGTCTTGTCCCTAAGAGCCTTAGTAGGACATCTATTCAAGATGTACACTGCTGTGTGGACAGCTTCTGCCCATAGATAATAGGGCAGCTCCTTCTCATGCAACATAGCCTTAGCCATCTCTACCACAGTCCTATTTTTTCTCTCTACCACTCCATTTTGCTGGGGTGTGTAAGCCATGGAGAATTGTCTTTGAATCCCTGCATCTTCACATAGTTTATTGAATTCACTAGAAGTGAACTCACCCCCTCTATCACTTCGAACACATTTCACTTTGTAACCACTTTGCAACTCCACCATAGACTTGAATTTTCGAAAACAATTTAGTGCATCCGACTTGTATCTCAAGAAGTAGACCCAAATCATCCTTGTAAAATCATTTATGAGTAGCATGAAATATTTGTTACCTCCTAGAGATTCATTTTGCATTGGTCCACACAAGTCCATGTGTATAAGTTCAAGAGGTGTACTAGCTCTCCATGCTTGATCTTTAGGAAACCACTCTCTGTGTTGTTTTCCTAATTGGCAGCCTTCACACACTTCATTTACAGTTTCCAAATGTGGCAGCCCATGTACCATCTCTTTTTCCTTGAGTTGGTTTAGGCCTTTCAAATGTAAATGCCCCATTCTTTTATGCCAAACCCAAGTAGAGTTGACTACACCAGCTCTTAGTGCAACAAAATCATTTGAGGGTAATGATAATGGATAACATTTATTCTTTCTCATTTCCACCTTCATAACAAGGTTCTCAAGAGAAGAACTATCATAGATGCTGCACATGCTGCTCCCAAATACCAAATGATAACCATGTTCATCCATTTGGCCCACACTCAAGAGATTTTCTCTCAAACCAGGCAGATACATGACCTCTCTGATATACTTTGCACCAGAGTTTGTGTCAAGCACCAAAGTGCCCATGCCGGCTATACTTACAAGCTCCCCTGTTGGCATTTGCACCTTGCCTGTGACTTTTGAGTTTATGTCAATTAACAGCTCCTTCTTCCCAGTCATGTGGTTACTGCAGCCATTGTCTACATACCATTCTCCATTTTCACCATTTTCTGAAATTGCACAGTTTGCAAAAAACAGATTCCCTCTTACTTCTACTTGGCTTGCATTATTTGCTTTATGTCCTCCTTTGTTTGCAGTGCAGTCTCTGGCCCAATGTCCAAATCTATCACCCTTATAGCACTTGGATTGACCCTTATATCTGCATTCTCCATAGTGAAATTTAGAGCAGACTTTGCATTGAGGCTTCACCCCATCTTGCTGCACAGAGTGTGATCCATTTGAAGTCTGTCCAGCGCCAGCTTGCTGTGGCTTCTGTCTAGACTCCCATGGTTTGTTGTTAGGCTTCCAACTCTTCTGAGACTTGGCAGAACCAGAGACTGAGCATTATTCTTGTTCTGCCCCTTTTGATCGATTGAGAAATAACCAAATGCTTTCTCAGCTATGTCCACATTATGCATGTCAAAACGTTGCTCTTGACTCTTCAATATTGCAATAACCTCCTGCAATTCAATGGTCTCCAAACTCTTTGTATTTTCGATCACCAAACAGATGGGATCATAAACTCTACTAAGACTAATTAACACCTTTTGAACTAGCCTCTCGTTTGATAACACCTCTCCAAATGTTTTCATTTGATTTATCAATTCATTTAATCGAGTAAGATATGCAGTAAGTTGTTCACCTTCACGCATCCTCATATACTCAAATTCTCGTCTAAGATTCTGAAGCTTTACAGATCTAACCTGATCACCTCCATGATATTCACTGTAGAGCAGAGTCCAAGCCATTTTTGCTGAATCGACATTTGCAATCCGAGGGAAGATCTGGTTAGAGACAGCATTTTGTATGATGCCCAGTGCCTTTGCATCCTTCATAAGCACAGCACACATCTCTGCTTCAACTTCTTCCTCCGATGATTCTTCAACTTTCTTGGTCTTCATCTTCGAATCAGAGACTGGAATCCCCTTTTCTACCAGACCCCACAGCCCAAGAGATTTGAAGATTTTCACCATCTTGATCCTCCAGAACTCGTAGTTCTCACTGGAAAAGATCGGAGTTCGTACCTCAGAACTCCCAGATCCAGCCATCGTTTGGTCTGAATCTCAGCAGCTTGCTTCTCTTCTCCGATGCTCAGCTGAGCTTCGATTTTAGCTCAGTGACCTTCACAGTTTTACGCCCAGATCAAGACACCGAACTGGCTCTGATACCATGTTAGAGTTTTGTATAGGTTTTGAAGAAGAAGAGAAAAACGATATGCAAGAGAAAACCGAGAGCTTAGCTAAAACAAAACTTCTGTATTTTTGTATTGTATATTCTAAAACTTTCGGGCAAGCACAGTGTGTGCTATATGACTGTTAGAGAAATAGCTGGATTCTCTTACATCACTTGAGAATCACAGCCTTACATCCAAAACTGCCTTCTAAGATCTTTACACGTGGCTATAGCCACTTAACACTAACTGACGCCTCACACTTGCCTATTTTAGAGACTAAGTGAATACACCATTTCAGCTTAGGGACTTTAATCACACTCTCATCAGCTCACCACTTATATTTCAACAATTCTAAGTCCTTTGGAAAGACCTAAAGTTTGTAAACAAATAAAAAGCAAATTAATAAAAAGCATAAAGAAAAGTGAAGTAGCTAGTGCACCACTGTTGGTCTTGAATTGAATCGATACAGTCGTGAATCTCGTGCTGATATATACAAACAATTACTGTTCTGTCTCTTTATGCACAGGAATTTGTGTTTTAGAAGAGTAAAGAGATTTTTTTTTTCCTATATATATGTGTGTGTGCGCTTGAGGAGCGCATGCAGCACAAGAAGAAGGAAAAAATGAGTCACTCAGGAGCATCTCTGTCAGCTATGCAGGTGATGATTGTGGTGATGGTCATGGCCCTGCTGACCACCACAAGTCATTGCATTAACATCAGCGGTAGCTACTCCTCCTCTTCGAGGTGTAATGGTCTCACTGGCACGGCATGTCGTATTGCATACTCCGAGTTGGACTTTGACTTGGAGTTCATGTTGGACTCAGAATTCAGCATAAGGATCCTCAAGGATGGCGATCCCAAAATCACTTTTGCCGGATTGGAGAAAGGATCGGTGTCCTGCGGCCCCCCAGGAGTTGATAAATCTGACAGTTGCCACCAGGAGAAAAACAATATCGTCCCGCCAGATTGCAAGCCCGAGGCCCTCACCAATAGGAATTGCTACCGCCATGATGAGAAAAACGGTTCCAAAAGATGATAAATCTGTCAAATGCCACCGTAACAAAAACAAAAAGGCCAAATCAGATTGCAAGGACCTCACCAATAAGCATTGCTACGACCATGATAATAAGTAAGCCAATTACTACTGGATGGATCCATGCATTAGATCGTGTGCAAGCTTATAAGTTATATAAGTGGTGTTATTTTTTCTGCTTTATAATTTCTGTGTGTACGTGGAGAGTTTGTATTGGTACGTTTCTGCATTTGGTTCTTCATTTTGTTTTATGTTTTCTTTTAAATAAAGAAGAGAGATTCGATTTAAAATTACTTCCACAGTGGGAGTAAAACATATGCATTATTTAAGCAATAATTGCACAAAAAGGAAAGTTTATGGAGGGGCCTAGCTGTGCTTTATATATATATATCTATAGCGGCTTTGAGGACTGCACGCAGCAGAAAAAGAACAAAAAAACAAAAGATGAGTCACTCAGGAGGAGCTATGAAGCTGATGATGGTGATGATGGCCATGGCACTGCTCACCACAAGCCATGGCATTGGCATCCACATCAACACCAGCGTCATCACCGGTGGCCACTCTGCCTCCCAGTGCAACGGCCTCACCGACACGGCGTGCCGGATTGCACACTCGGAGTTGGACTTTGACTTGGAGTTCATGTTGGACTCGGAATTCAGCATAAGGCTCCTCCAGACAAATGACCCTCATCTTTCTCAGGAGGCGTTGGTTTCAACGAATGCTGTGTCCTGTAACCAACCAGAGAATCCAAATGGCTGCCATGGCACGGCAAACAACAGACCCATTTCAGACCACTGCAAGACGGAACCCACCAATAGGAGTTGCCACAAAATTCCCCCCCAATAATCGGCCGCTACTACTACTACTACTGGTGTCTTTTGTTTCCTTTTCTGCTTCTTTAGTATTTGGTGCCCTACTCATCAGGGTCAGTTTAATTTCTGTGTACGTTTGTGTGCTTTTGATTCTCCCTCTTCTTCTTTGTATTTTCGTTTTATTAAGGAAGTGAGTTCGAACTTGAGATGTTAATTTGTATCATTTAGAAGAACCAGTTGGTTGGTTCTTCAAATATTTGTGTGCTGTAATCGTGTTAACCAATTTCAAGTCTATATGAATTACTCTTTCTTTTAAATGTCGGAAAAATAAAAACATTACAATTTTTTGTGTATCTGGTACAACCGACAAACCGGGTTGGGTAGAAACTACATGCGAGAAGAGAGCATTTCGGTCACCAACTTAATTTTTATTTTTTTATTTTTTTTCGAGGGAGGATCACCACCTTAATTAATAGTGAGCATTTGTTACATGAATTTAAAAAATTAAGTGAAATTTGATATTGATTAGTCTTTTTTTCATATATGATTTCTGGATTCATTAGTTAAGTTGCTTTAGGATTCTACATTACTTTAGCATATTTCTCTTTTTTCCTCTTTTTCACTTTGTCAGACAACAGCAACAAAAGAAAAAGCAAAAGCTATCATATTGAGAGTGACTCTTGAACAACAATGTAGAAATAAACCACGTACTATATAAAAAAGAAAAAATGTCTACCTACCATACTATTTACACCACGTACTTCAAATATTTGTGTACTGTAATTGTGTTAACCAATTTCAAGCCTTTATGAATTACTTTTCTTTTCAATGTGGGAACTAAATCCTAAACAATCAAGCAGAGCAACTAAAGATTAATAAGTTTACAACCTGGGGAAAAGGAAAGTAGAGAAAGTTAAAACAGGAATTCCTACGGTGCGTTCAGTGGCGATGCCTTGATGTGGTGGTCTCGACTTTGGATATCTATAACTTGGGAAGTGCAAAACAGAAAATGTGAGTAGATGAAAACAAAGCCTTAAAAATAATTTATATTCAACATAAATAATCCCCTCCGTTTTAAAAAAAATAATGCCCTAAACACCATGCAATAGATTTCTTTGGTAAACTTACAGAAATATCATCCAATATTAGAAAATTTTTTAATTCCGTAAAATTTCATATCATGACATACGATAAGGAAAACCATTTAATTAATACTTCTCAAATTCTTGGAAAACAATGAAAACTTATTAATTTAATCATTATTGTAAAACAGTGACCAAAGTAAACCCGTTAATATGAAATATAATCATTAAAACCCAAAATCCTTTTTCCCGCAACCATACTCTTGCAAAAATACAATATGCCAAGAAATTTCCAAATATCCAACCTGAATTTCGAACTTCATTTCAAATGTTCATACATGTGCAGAGTACTCTCAATGCATATGCTCAAGAAACCTCAACCTGTAAATAAATCCACACACACACACACACACATTCACCACACCATCGTCCTGTACCGGGGAAAAACAATCCAACACAAGGACTGTTTTTAATTAGACCACATGGCAGAATCTTCCATACTCATGTGACTAAGGAAAGTTTATGGAGGGGCCTAGCTGTGCTTTATATATATATATATATATCTATAGCGGCTTTGAGGACTGCACGCAGCAGAAAAAGAACAAAAAAACAAAAGATGAGTCACTCAGGAGGAGCAATGAAGCTGATGATGGTGATGATGGCCATGGCCCTGCTCACCACAAGCCATGGCATTGGCATCCACATCAACACCAGCTTCATCACCGGTGGCCACTCTGCCTCCCGGTGCAACGGCCTCACCGACACGGCGTGCCGGATTGCACACTCGGAGTTGGACTTTGACTTGGAGTTCATGTTGGACTCGGAATTTAGCATAAGGCTCCTCCAGACAAATGACCCTCATCTTTCTCAGGAGGCGTTAGTTTCAACGAATGTTGTGTCCTGTAACCAACCAGAGAATCCAAATGGCTGCCATGGCACGACAAACAACACACCCATTCCAGACCACTGCAAGACGGAACCCACCAATAGGAGTTGCCACAAAATTCCCCCCCAATAATCGGCCGCTATTACTACTACTACTGGTGTCTTTTGTTTCTTTTTCTGCTTGTCCAATATAGATCCTTACATTTTCTATTTCCTAGACATATACCCATCACTCTATAAATCTATGTGTAAAACCCAATTTCAAATTTAAATGACCAGTAGGATATAAAAGGTCGTAGTATTTCTATGTTTTTACATCGTTGCCACTAAACTTCATATTTTATTTATAATTTATTTCAAGTATTTCATTAACTGCCATAATTGTAATTAATATACTCCCTATTAATAGCATATCAATCACCCCATTTCTTTTAGTTGTCATTCCCTCTCACATCTCGTCCCCTAAAATTGCAAACAAAAAAAAAATTCTGTAAATTACATATCCAATAATGTACCTATGAAAAATATAATACATACATATACATATAAAATATAGGTATATTATTTACCCAAAAAAGTCAGTTACTTTGTAATTGCGTATATTTTTCATAATTAAAAATAGGTACACAATAATTTATATAAAATATAGGTACATTATTTGGAGAGGAAAGATAGGTACATTATTAGAGGAAAAAAATTGGTAAGTTATTTGGAGAGAGAAAATAGGTTCATTTAAAAAAATTACGTTTAATAAAACAAATAATAGGTACTTTATTCAAAGAAAAAAGGCTATATTATTTATAGAAAAAAATAGGTACATTATTTAGATAAATAATAGGTACTTTATTCGTAGTAGGTATATTATTCAAATGGTAGGTACATTGGATGACATATAATACCTAAATCCTAATTGTAAGTACATTAAAATTAATGTAGGTATATTGGAATAGATAATTATGTACACTTTTCATACTAGGTAAATTATATTTTTCATAAAACAAATAGGTACATTATTTTTTCAACATAATTAGTATGTACAGTTTTATTCATAAACAATTATAAAGTGGATTATTAGTCATGTATAATTCATAAAAAGAAAATAACATAAACATTTTTTTAAACAAACCGATTACCCAAATTTGAATTTATTGTTAAATTTTTTTAAAAATGTTCCAAAATTAATTCCTACATCCATTACAACCATTTGGAGATCTTTCCAAATTCAACATCTGTCATTATATACAATCCAATTAAAAACTGTTTCCATATTGATTCCTACATTAATATACAAAATGCAATAATGGCTTAGTTGGGGGTATTTTTGGAATCTGAAAAGTACAATAAATCAAATTTTATGCTTAATTAGGTAACTTGCTGAGTTGGATCATAGTCATGGGTTTTTACTTATACAAATTGGGTATTATTTATAGGAACAAAAAGTGAAGGGTTTTAGGTATGGCAAATTGAATTTGAAGGGTGTAAGCCAAATTTACTATCTTAATATGTGCCCTACTCATCAGCGTCAGTTTAATTCTATGTACGTTTGTGTGCTTTTGATTCTCCCTCTTCTATTTTTCTTTTTTAATTTTATTAAAGAAGTGGATTCAAATTTGGGATGTTTTGTATCATTTAGAAGAACTAGTTGGTTGGTTCTTCAAATATTTGTGTGCTGTAATCGTGTTAACCAATTTCAAGTCTATATGATTTACTCTCTCTTTTCAATGTCGGAAAAATAAAACATTACAATTTTTTTGTGTATCTGGTACAACCGTAAAAACCGGTTTGGGCTAGAAACTACATGAGAATTATATTAGAAGAGTACATTCTATATAAACACCTTCTGTACAATGAACGCGAGAAATTAAGTGATATTTGATATTGACAGTCCCGATCTCTTAGACTACAGGAGTTCAAGAGATTGTGTTCACCCACCGTTGGATATTAAACCAATGGTTTAAAAAAATTTCTTAAAAGGAGTGCAAGAGTGCGTAAACCGTTGAATTTACATCCAACAGTGAGTGACCACAAATCTCTTGAACTCATGTAGTTCAAGAGATCATGACTGTTGATATTGATTAGTCTTTCTTTCAGATATGATTTCTCGATTCATTAGTTAACTTGCTTTAGGATTCTACATTACTTTAGCATATTTCTCTTTTTCCTGTTTTTCACTTTTTCAAACAACAGCAACAAAAGAAAAGGCAAAAGCTATCATATTGAGAGTGACTCCTGTACAACAATGTAGAAATAAACCGCGTACAATAAAAAAGAAAAAGAAAAAATGTCTACCTACCATACTATTTACACCACGTACTTTATAAAAAAAGAAAAAAAAACCACAGACTTTTAATTTCATGAATTAATTGAAAACACCCACCAAACTTACCGAAAATGTCATGTAGAAATGTCTACCTACCATACTATTTACACCACAGCAACTCTAAACACACGTGTGAAATCCCCCACTGCGAATAGCGAGGCAACTGTGAATGATGATGACATTGGAGATCATGATGGCTCATGACTACCATGACTACCTTGGAAGAGTACCCAATTGATATCTACCATGCAGTTGAGAAGAAACGCCGGTGTAAAATGGGGATAACATTGTTTTACCATATTGAACATAACAAGTTTTTCACACCCAAAGTCTATTTACAATATAACAAAGAGGCTTTTAACTTCTTATAAATTACAAAAATGCAATTGATTTTTCAAAACAAGCCCAACTTCAAAACCTCATAAAAAAAATACAAATTTATAAATAAACCCAATCCTAGACATGTATTTATAAAAAAACCCAAGCACTATTTAAACATAGAAACACACCCAAAATCAACCCCAAAGTCAACTTTTTGGGTGTGTTTATAAATGGGTTTTGAGTGTGTGTAATGATGGGTTTTGGGTGTGTTTATATGTTTAAATAGTGCTTGGGTTTTTTTATAATTTCAACCCCCATTTTGGGTGTTTTACTGAAACTCCCCAAAACACTCAACAGGCATCAAAATAATAATAAATAAATCAAAATTAAATTCAATAGGGCTGTCATTTTTTTTTTTGTTTGGGGGTTTTTTTTTTTTTTTTTTTTTTTTTTTTTTTTTTTTTTTTGGGATTGTATAGAAATTAAATGGTGCTGAGTTTATACATAGTGCTAAGAATAGATGTATCACTAAATATCTCTAAAATCATTTGCGGCAAAAGAAGGTGTCTGACATCACACAATATAAAAAAGATGAGTGCAATTGTCAGTATATTATCTCTTGAATTGCATGCCTGAGTATTTTCTGAATTTTTATGATACCTCTCTTGTGTTTTTTCCTTTTATTGAATCAAGTTAAGGTATTTTTTTCAAAAATAAAAATAAAAACCTTTTAAATCGAAAAATAGTGGCTCATCAAATTATGCTTAAGAGTCATTTTGATATGAAATACTATAATCCTAAAGTTACAAATCCTCACCCTCATCTCTTCCACAAGTCTAGCCATCTAACCTTTGGTTTTTTACGATAGGTTCATAACATGTGAATTAAGGTATAGAAAGTTCCATATTGAAAGTTGAGGGACTTTCTCCAGTCCATACAAAGTTCAGGACCATAGCTCCTAAAAAGTTTTTGTCAACCAAGTTGAGCCCAGGCAGAACGTGACGTGTACTGAGCCCATTACGAGAAAAAAATTAGTCACTCTCAGTTCTCACTTCCATTTCTTTCTTGATAGTTCATTGTGATAATGCTTTTTGTTGAACACAAAAAAAAAATTATAAGACAAGGAAAGGAGCCCAGGATAAAAGCCCAAGACGTGAAGTTTGATCTTTAAGGTTGCTAAGAGCACTTCCACCCAGAAGGGCTAAGTCTAAGGCAAGGGCAAGTAAGGGCTGCACTATTCACGTGAATAGTGTCAGCCTTTGCATTTGTGGTTCCACCCATGAGGGCAAAGTCTAAGGCAAGTCAAGGGCAAGAAAAAATATATATATGCAACAAAATATAAAATTGTTATGTATTTATAGGGAAAATTAAATTTTTTATAATTTTTTTTTGTTCGCTGACGTCAGCACCCTCGGGCTGAAGCCCAGGCAAAATTTGCCCTTGGGCTTGCCAGGGCTGGTGGGACCCAGGGCTTGCCCGGGCTGCAAGTGGTGCCCTAGAGATGCATTGGGCTTGCCAAGGGGGCCTTTTGCCTAGTTTGATAGCAGCGCTGGAGCTGCTCTAATTGTTCCTTCTAGAAATTAAAAAGGGAATAAGGTCAGTTTTCAAAAGAAATAGGGATTTTTGTAGAAATGTCACCTGAACTTATACATCAGTTTCAATTTGTCACCTTAAAAAAAAATTAAGCGAAATGTCACCTTAACTTTTCAAAATCCATGATTTGTCACCTGACTTTAACGTCATCCAATTTTCCATCCATTTTTAAAGGGTATTTTAGTCATTCCAATATGTAAACCCTATTTATTTATTTATTTATTTATTAAAATGATTTAAATATAAAGCTATGTAAACCCTCTTTGAAGCTCATTTTTTGGTGAAGAAAAAGGAGTTAAAACCCCAAAAGCAAGACTTTTAACACTCAAATTTTATGGTTTCAATTTTTTTTAGGGAAATAATCATAGGTACTAATTCAAATTTGAGAAAGAAATTTATAAAAGACATTATCTGGAAATTGATATACAAAACAAAAGTAGCAAAAATGAGTTCACAAAATAGGTTCAAAACGTGACCAAGTCTACAACTTGTACCGAGGCCACAAAGCTACAGCACTTCAAAACATAATCCCAATTTTTATCTGTTTGTAAAATAAACTTTGCATGGTACCGAGACCAATTAAACCTAAGTGCTTTATGGTTTCCATACGTTATTCTTCTTGGCATAAGACTTGGTATTGGTTTTCATTGTTCTTGCTCTTGTAGAAGAAGAACTTGGGTTTGAGACTTGTGCATTGGATTCAGACATATTTCGTGCAGATTGTATTCCTCTTGGTACAGAGTGCGCTTGATTTGCTGAGGTTTCACTTGTCCTATTTCCTCCATTTGTCTGTGACTGTTGTTGGCTTGGATTTGCTGAAGTTTGCCCTCTTAGATCACCTTCTCCATTCACCTGTACCAAATCAAATTTCATTTCCAACTTCTTAACATTTAATGAAATAAAAATAAAACATAAAATCTCTTTATCTTTATACTTGAGCTCTTTTTGCTTGCTTCCTCCTTTCACAAGTAGTAGCATTATGGCCTTCTTGGCCACACTTGCTGCAGTTGATCTTGATTAAGCATCTTCGAAGTTTGTTTGGATTTAAAGGAGGTCGAACCTCATCTGGCTCCCTAAATCTGAGCATCCTTGGTCTCCCAGCTTGCTTGTGATACTTAGGGGGTCTAATAGGCTGATGGTTTGTCACTGGCTAATATTCTTAACCAGCCATTGGGTTGATATAAGGCTTGTAGGCCCTTAAGAATGCTGGTTTCTTGTAACAAGAATGAACATAGTTGTATGGATCCTCTTCTCTTCTGTATATTGCAGAAATGCCATGAGAACAAGGAATTCTAGTGAGATCCCACCTCCTACATGAACAAGTGTGGGCTGTCAAATCCACCACAAACTGTGCCCCAATAATATGCCTCACTTGATACTTCTTGTCACCGGCAAGACAAGGAATGCAAGAACCACTTTCTAATTTGTTTTTCTCAACAATTTTAAACACTCTAGGGCCAACATCACAAGTCCACTTATTTGCAGTCTCTCTCATTCTTGCCATTCTCACCATCATATATGTCCTAATCCTCTCCATCATAGTCAATATTGGTTTATCTCTTGCACTTAATATTACACTGTTAAAAGACTCACACATATTATTCAACAAGATATCACATTTTGATGTAGTCCTAAAATGGGATTTACTCCAATACTTTGCAGGCTTGTCATCAAACCATCCTATTGCTCTTCCATCTTCAATTTCCATCCTAGTCATATGTGCTTTAAACCCAGGAATGGTGGTTGCCCTTGCTGCTTCCCAAAGTATTTGCTTAAGTGCCATTCCATTGTGACCTTTCTTGAGATTATTATACAAGTGTTGAACACAATGCCTGTGTTCAACACTAGGAACAAGGTCTTCAACAGCTCTCAGTAGACCTTTCTGCTTGTCTGACATAATGACCCAAGAAAGCCCATTATCAATCCTCAAATCATTGATGAGTATCTCTAGGAACCAAGTCCACGTGCACCTATTTTCTATTTCAACAATGGCATACGCTATTCGATACATGCCATTATTGACATCTATCCCAATAGCACAAAGTAATTGCCCAGGATGTGGACCTTTAATGTGGCATCCATCTAACCCCACAACTGGCCTACAACCCTGTATGAAGCCCTTCTTAAGAGCTGCAAAACACACATACATTCTCTGAAAAATAGGTTTTCCACCTTCCATCTCTGTCTTGATAATAACTGTACTACCAGGGTTTGTTCTCTTTAACTCCTCACAATAATCCCATAACCTTCCATATTGCTCCTCATAAGTCCCATCAGTCTTAGCAGCCACCAAACTTTTTGCTCTATATATTTGGTTCTTTGTGATATTCAAATTGTATTGTTTACGCACAGCTTCTTGGAATTTTGGCACTTCCCATTTAGGATTATCAATCAACTCTTCAGTGTACCTATGTGACAACCAAGTAGATGTGCATAGTTTGATTTTTTCCGCCCTCGGGCATGTGTGCAAATCAGTAAGTGTCTTTACCATAAGAGTAGAACTCTCATCCACCTTAGATGCATAAATCACCCAAGGACATGGCTTTTTGCACTTAGCTTGAACTTTGAAACTCTCTCTTAGTGTGAATCTAATATCTTTTCCATTAACACAAGCATAATATCTTACTGCCTGTTTAAACTCATTCCTATTAAAAAACATCATGCCTAACCTAAACTGTGGATTCTTCATATCCATATCACTCTTAAATTGAGTGAAGTTAGGCAACTTCCTCTTTCGTGTACCACCATTTTCTTCACCCTCATAATCTTCTTCACCACCACTCTTAAATTCATATGAATTTTCAAACTCTGTTTCAACATCCCCGAACTCCAAATTTGGGAAGGCTGCAGCACTACTTGAGACATTAACATTGCCTCCTTCATTGACACATTTCTCTACAATGTCATCAAAAAGAATATCATCCTCAGCATCACTTTGCTCATAGTCAGAATCTTCATATTAAGAATCCTCATCTTCTACACCTACATCAACTTTTGGTTCTTCTTGACTGAGGCTTGACTCCACACAATTTTTGATTGCAACTTGACTCTCAATATTTGGGACAAAGTTGTCATAAACTATGTACACAATTGCCACTCTATTTGGGGGCAATATAGTAACTAAAGCCCAAAAATCAGAGTCATTCTTCAATTCCCTACATTCCCCTCCATTTGGTAATCTATAATAATATGTTGACGTCTTGATGTACCCTAAACTCTTAGCACAATTCTCAATATCCCATTTTGACATCAAATCTTGATTTAAATTATCATACCAAGCCACATGCCCAGCAACATACTTCAAGTTCCCATCCCATTGCTCTATAAAGTGACCCCCATGGTGAATAAATCACAATCACCAACACAAACATTCAAATTAACATTTATATAAAATATAACAGTTGCAGCCGATACATCCCCACACAACATAGTAATATAGTAATTGACTTGCAAAAGGACAATACACGTTAACCCAAAGCACAAAAACAAAGCAATAGCATATAAATAAAGCCAAAGAACATAAAGAAAGAAAAAAGGATCCCATGAATCAAATCTCCCGTTGTCATATAAAAAGCAAAAACTTCAAAGATTCCCAAGTAGAAAGCAAAAGCTTTACCGTAGTTTGGAGGGTTCCCAGTGACTCTGTAGCGTAGAGCAGCCATCAATCCCAATGGCGCTGACAACTTGCAGATATGCCTTAAAAAAATTTTGAAACCCTAAAGTCTAATTGTTGTTTAGGCGTAAAAGTACTATTCTTGACTCTTTTTTTTTTCTTTTTTTTTTTGTGAAAAAAGAGCTTCATAGAGGTTTACATATTGGAAAGACTAAAATATCCTTTTAAGTGGATGGAAAATTGGATGACGTTAAATTCTGGTGACAAATCATGAATTTTGAAAACTTGAGGTGACATTTCACTTAAAATTTTTTTTAAGGTGACAAATTGAAATTGATGTATAAGTTCAGGTGACATTTCTACAAAAATCCCAAAGAAATATAAAATAAAACAAATAAAAAAATAAAAGGTGGGAAGAGATCGTGTTTATCCTTGGCAACTCCATTCAGCAGAGAAACTACCCACTTAGCAAACCGTGCTTCCCCAACTGTTGTTCATCTTTTGCCTATAATAAGACATGAACGCACAGAGGTAAAAAAAGAGGGGAAGGTGCTGCAGAAAAGGGGGGGGAAAAAAAAAAAGCAAGACAAGGGCTTGGAGAAGAGGTAGCCGTGAGGCTGCAGAGAAAAAAAAACACAGCGGCAGACTGTGAAGAGATACCATAAAAAATATAAAAAAAAATAGTAAATTTGGCTCACACCCTTCAAATTCAATTTGTCATACCTAAAACCCTTCACTTTTTGTTCCTATAAATAATACCCAATTTGTATAAGTAAAAACCCATGACTAGGATCCAACTCAGCAAGTTACCTAATTAAGCATAAAATCTGATTTATTGTACTTTTCAGATTCCAAAAATACCCCCAACTAAGCCATTATTGCATTTTGTATATTAATGTAGGAATCAATATGGAAACAGTTTTTAATTGGATTGTATATAATGACAGATGTTGAATTTGGAAAGATCTCCAAATGGTTGTAATGGATATAGGAATTAATTTTGGAACATTTAACAAAAAATTTAACAATAAATTCAAATTTGGGTAATTGGTTTGTTTAATAAAATGTTTATGTGATTTTCTTTTTATGAATTATACATGACTAATAATCCACTTTATAATTGTTTATGAATAAAACTGTACATACTAATTATGTTGAAAAAATAATGTACCTATTTGTTTTATGAAAAATATAATTTACCTAGTATGAAAAGTGTACATAATTATCTATTCCAATATACCTACATTAATTTTAATGTACTTACAATTAGGATTTAGGTATTATATGTCATCCAATGTACCTACCATTTACCTACTACGAATAAAGTACCTATTATTTATCTAAATAATGTACCTATTATTTATCTAAATAATGTACCTATTTTTTTCTATAAATAATATAGCCTTTTTTCTCTGAATAAAGTACCTATTATTTGTTTTATTAAACGTAATTTTTTTAAATTAACCTATTTTCTCTCTCCAAATAACTTACCAATTTTTTTCCTCTAATAATGTACCTATCTTTCCTCTCCAAATAATGTACCTATATTTTATATAAATTATTGTGTACCTATTTTTAATTATGAAAAATATACGCAATTACAAAGTAACTGACTTTTTTTTTTGGGGTAAATAATATACCTATATTTTATATGTATATATTTATATTATATTATATTTTTCATAGGTACATTATTGGATATGTAATTTATAGATTTTTTTTTTGTTTGCAATTTTAGGGGGCAAGATGTGAGAGGGAATGACAACTAAAAGAAATGGGGTGATTGATATGCTATTAATATGGAGTATATTAATTACAATTATGGCAGTTAATGAAATGCTTGAAATAAATTATAAATAAAATATGAAGTTTAGTGGCAACGATGTAAAAACATAGAAATACTACGACCTCTTATATCATACTGGTCATTAAAATTTGAAATTGGGTTTTACACATAGATTTATAGAGTGATGGGTATATGTCTAGGAAATAGAAAATGTAGGGATCTATATTGGACAAGCCCAAAAAAAAAGCCAACAAGGCTTGGGGAACATGGAGGATGCACGGCAGTGCTGAAGAAATGTGATAGAAGCAATCAAGGCTCCTTTCTTGAGGTCCTCCATGTTGGGTGACAACCCTTTTAATCAATCAAACGGGTGGCAACCCTCAAATCAAACTCTTAGATGATGAATCCATCATGGGTGGCAACTCTTAAATCATTTTGTTGGATGATAAATCCATAATGGGTGGTAACCCTTCAATCAATCAGATGGATGGCAATCCATGTAGGGTGGCAACCCTTTAATCAATCAAATGGATGGCAATCCATGTAGGGTGGCAACCCTTGAATCAAAATTTCCTGGATGTTCAATCCATCTTTGGGTAATAAATCCTGAAATCAAAACAGTGGGTTTCGCACCCCAGAAACAAAGCTTGGGTATTTCACCCTGAAAACAAATATGGGTTTTCACCCTCAAAAGAAGTTTGGGTTTTTACACCCCAAACAAATCTTGGATACAAAATCCACCATGGGTGTGTAACCCTTAATCAAATACTCTCTGATATATCCGCTTTGGGCACAAAGCTCATTCATTGAGTTCTCTGGATGACAAATCCAATTTGGGTACAAAACCCACAAACAGAAACATTGGGGGATTAATCTCACAGCAAATAAAAAAATCAGCTGCGTGCACATAAAGGAGAGAAACAAAGCTTGAAAAGAGAGGCCACGTTGTGCATCCCATCCTTGAATTCCTCATATGGGAATTGTTTGCAAACAATCAAAACAAAGGATGGAGATCCTTAAAAAAGGGAAAAAGGATAGGCACGTTCCTGTTGGCAACTTCTGGTTGCGCAGCAAACCAAAAGCAAAGAAAACAAAAGCCAAAACCCAAAAAGACGAGAGGAATTGGCTTGGTGTTATGTATGGCAGTAACAAAAGAAAAGGGTGGAGGCTTCCACTGAAAAGAAAACAAAGGGAAGAAGAGTAAAAAAAAAGGGAAGTGATGTCAGCCACTTTGTTTCGAGAGGGAGAAGAAATTCAAAGAAGAAAAAAGAAGTCAAAAGACCAAAAAAAAATAGAACGTGGCGTCAGCCACAGGTGTATCCAATTCATACTTATAAAGACTTTTTTTTAAGTCAGTGACTTTTATAGAGATGACAAATTCTTAAATACTCTCATAGAGTTGATAAAAGTCACTAGTACATTGGCAAGACTTTTGCTCTTAGAAATTAGCCTTAAAAGTATGGAAAAGTCATTCATTCAATAAGCTTTTTAAAAGTCATTAACTTTTTGGATACCACCAAACTTTTAAATACTTTTTAAAAGTCATAACTGAATACCACCAAACTTTTAAATACTTTTTAAAAGTCACAATTGAATACCACTAGACTTTTATATACTCTTTAAAAGTCTAAATTGAATACCTCCAGACTTTTAAACTCTATAAAAGTCATTAAAAGTTTGAATTGGATACACTCCCCTTAATTTGTGTTTTGGGTTTATTTCAACTCTCTCTCTTCTTTCCTTCTTTTCTCTCTTCTTCACATGTCCAAAAAAATGGGCCAGTCAAAATATCGTAGGCCCGAAATAAAATAATGGACTGTCAAAAATAATTGTTCATTGATTTTCAAAGGCCCATAATATTTAATGGGTGATTCAAATAATTATCCATTAAATTTATCAAGGCCCAAACTGCCTATTATATGGTTCATGGATCAATTTTAAACATCCTCACATCCATATTTGGGTCCAAATGCAATTGTCAATTATAGGGAAAAATTAATGAGATAATTGAAATTACTCATTATTCTTCTTGGACATTGACAACAAGAAAAGTGGTACAAAACCATCCAATTTTTCATGGGTCATCTACTCATGCAAATTTCATTGAGATTAATTTCAAATCTCTCAAACACAAATTCTTAATTAGTGGGCTACACTCACCCATTGATTTCCAATTTTTCTCATGGGCCATCTACCCATGAAAATTCCAATGAGATTAAATTCAAATATCTCAAACACAAATTCTCAATTAGTGGGCCACACTTACCCATTAATTTCCAATTTTTCCTATAGGTCATCTACCTATGAAAATCCCCAAATTATCTCACAGTCACAAGTTCTAAATTATTAGGCCACACTTACCCATTAATTTCTAATTTTTTCCATAGGTCATCTACCTATGAAAATCTTCAAATCTTCTCAAAGACACCAATTCTAAGTTATTGGGCCACACTTACCCATTAATTTCCAAATTTTGGAACTACGTCGGTTTGATCCCGTCAAGGGTACGTAGGCAGTCTAACATCCCGATAGACGCAACCGCAATCAAATTTGAATCCCTGGTTTTATCCTAACCAAATTCGTCCAAATACTTTCCTAAATGCAAATGTCAATTGTAGAGAATTAGTGGGTTCATCAAAATTACTCATTATTTTTCTTGGACATTGATAAAAAGAAGAATGGTATAAAACCATCCAATTTTTCCCATGGGTCATCTATCCATGAAAATTTCATTAAGATTAAATTCAAATATCTCAAACACAAATTCTAAATTATTGGGCCACACTTACCCATTAATTTCCAATTTTTCCCATAGGTCATCTACCTATGAAAATCTTCAAATCGTTTCAAAGACACCAACTCTAAATTATTGGGCCACACTTACCCATTAATTTCCAAACTTTGGAACTACGCTGGTTTGATCCCATCAAGGGTACGTAAGCAGTCTAGCATCCCAATAGACGCAACCGCAACCAAATTCTCACCAATCAAATCTCCACACAAATCAATTCCGAACTACGTTGGTTTGATCCCTTTGAAAGGGTACGCAGGCAATCTAGAGATTCAATCTAGATGCAACCATCCCAAACACAATTCCATATCGAACCCTTGGTTTATTAAGCTAGATTCACTCAAACACAACTCAATCAAATTCATTCAAATTCCTCCTTTTGCAATGAGTCATTTACTCATTGCGAATCTTTGAACTACGAGTGGCTTGATTCCTGCAAGGGATACGTAGGCACCCTGTGGTTGAACTTGGGAGAAGCCGCAAAACCAAACACACACATTTTGTTTCTTTATGATGGAATCAAAGGGTTTTCCCTTGTAGCGAGGGATTGTAATTAAGAGACTTGTGTCTCGAATGGGTCGAACCTAAAATAATAAACCCCCATTAATTGATTAGTGATGGTGAAATTATGTTGGGAGGTTCATATTTTCTTTCAACATAATTTTTTCCCATTAATTGACTAGTGGTGGTGAAATTATGTTTGGAGGTTTACATTTTTCTTCAACACTTTTATTTTGACAAAATAAAACTTTAGGGTTCTCCATTTCTTCCTCTTCTCTCTGCTTAGTCATACAAACCTCTCTCACCTCTTACTTTCTGATTTTTTTTTAATGAATTTTTAATTTAGAGAGGATGAGAGAGAAATAATAAAATATTAGAGATTATTCGAAGTAGAGAACATTGTTGGAGAAAACTACTTTTAAATTAGTTTGTTATAATGATTTTTTAGCTATTTTAACTAAAATTTGGCTAAAATTTGGAGACTCTTCTGAGATGCTTTAAGGAGTCAATAATAGCGCAAAAATAAAAGTTTATGGAGGGGCTAGCTGTGGTTCATAGGTGTATCTAAGAAGAGTAAAGAGCCAAGTACTTTTTCTGTACCGCATATATATACAGTGCCTTGATGAGTGCATGCAGCAGAAAAAGAAAAAAGATGAGTAACTCTTGAGGAGCTATGAAGCTGATGATGGTGATGATGGCCATGACCCTGCTCACCACAAGCCATGGCATTGGCATCCACATTAACACCAGCGTCGTCACTCGCGGCTATTCTGCCTCCCGGTGCAACGGCCTCACCGACACGGCGTGCCGGATTGCACACTCTGAGTTGGATTTGACTTTGGAGTTCATGTTGGACTCAGAATTCAGCATAAGGATCCTCCAATCCCACTACTATAATCAAAACAACGGTGAAAGGCTGCGTCCTGCAACCGAGTTGGTAACCAAGTTCCCTGCCACGGTAGGTAACAAAAACCAAAATCCCACACCAGAGCACTGCAAGGAGGAACCCACCAATAAGGCTTGCTGGAAACATTTCTAAATCAAATATTTGGCCGCTACTACCACTGGTGTTCTTTTTTTTGTTTGTTTCTTTCCGCTTCTTAGTATTTGGTGCCCTACTCATCAGTGTCAGTTTAATTTCTGTGTACGTTTGTGTGCTTTTGATTCTCCTTTTTTAATTTTTTTTGTTTTATTAAGGGAGTAAAACATATACATTATTCAATCAATAATAGCGCAAAAAGAAAAGTTTATGGAGAGGCCTAGCTGTGCTTTGTATGAAGAGTAAAGAGCCAAGTACTTCTTCTATATATATACTACAGTGCTTTTAGGACTGCATGCAGCAGAAAAAAGAAAACAAAAACAAAAACAAAAGATGAGTAACTCAGGAGGAGCTATGAAGCTGATGATAGTGATGATGGCCATGACCCTGCTCACCACAAGCCATGGCATTGGCATCCACATCAACACCAGCGTCGTCACCGGCGGCAACTCCGCCTCCCGGTGCAATGGCCTCACCGACACGGGGTGCCGTTTTGCACACTCTGAGTTGGACTTTGACTTGGAGTTCATGCTGGACTCGGAATTCAACATAAGGCTCCTCCAGACAATTCCTGGGTCTGTAGTTGGGCAGTCGTTGATTGCTGGCCAATCTGTGTCCTGTAACCGACCGGGTGATCCACAAAGCTGCAGGGGACTGAAAAACAGAACACCCATTCAAGAGCACTGCACGGATCAACACAATAGGGCTTGCCACAGATATCCTTGAGCTCCTAATAATCGGCCGGATAATTTCTATGCACTACTACTGGTGTCTTTTGTTTTTTTTGTTTCTTTCAGATTCTTAATATTTAGTGCCCTACTCAATCAGCGTCAGTTTAATTTCTGTGTACGTTTGTGTGCTTTTGATTCTCCTCTTCTTTTTTTTTTTTTTTTTTTTTTTTTTATTATTAAGAAGTGAATTCGAACTTAGGATGTTTTGTGATATCATTTAGAAGAACTAGTTGGTTGGTTCTTCAAATATTTGTGTGCTGTAATCGTGTTAACCAGTTTCAAGTCTTTCTTTTCAATGTCGGAAAAATAAAACATTACAATTTTTTGTGTGTGATTCATGTTTGGGGAACTTTATTTCAATCTATTGAAAGGCAACTCCTTGCTTTATAAAAAAGAAAAAAAAACCACGTAGTTTTAAGTTCATGAATGAATTGAAAACACCCACCAAACTTACCGAGAATGTCATGTAGTAAATGTCTACCTACCATACTATTTACACCACAGCAACTTCTAAACACACGAATTCCTCTCCCTTCACAATCCCCCACTGCGAATAGCGAGGCAACTATGATGGCTCATGAGTACCCTATTGATATCTACCATGCAATTGAGGAGAAACACTTGTGTAAAACGAGAATAACATTGTTTTATTATACCGGGTCAATCACGGTATGCAATGCTTAATAACTTTTCCACTTAGCATATTGTGATTGATCGAGAATAGCCAAACAATGTTATTCTCATTTCACACACATTTTTCTGTCAAGTGAAAGTATTAAATTTTAGAGGGTATACAAGTTTCCACGAGTCTAGCCATCTAACCCTGGTTTTTGACACTAGATTCATAACATGTGAATTAAGGTATAGAAAGTTCCGTTTTGAAAGTTGAGAGACTAAAGCTCAAGTCGATACAAAGTTCAGGGACTACAACTATATTTTTTTTTTTTTTTTTTTTTTTTTTTTTTTTCGTCGAATATATATATATATATATATATGCACTATGGTCCAGCCAAGTTGACCCCAAAACAGAAAGTGACATGAACTGAGCCCATTACGAGAAAAAATTGAAGGCCACTCTCATTTCTCACTTCCATTTCTTTCTTGATGGTTCTTGACAAAATAAAACTTTAGTTTCTACTCTTATTTTCAGCCTTGCAATTTTCTTTATAATACTTGCAAGTTGCAGGACAAGGAACCACCAACTTGCAGGTTGCCAGTTGCAACCACATCGTTATAGCCTAAACCAGCAAACATTTCTAGTTCTCACCTCTCTTCTTTTTTCTTTAATAATGTTTTTTTTATTTATATAAGCGATAGTCTAAATTATTCTAAATTAATCCAATTTACGGAAGAGATTTGTAACTTGAGTGCAAACGACAAGCTTACTGCATTGGCTGACTCGCCTAAGACTCGTACGCAATAATGTTATAGATAAACCACAAGTCAGCTTCCCACTAACCTCATGTCAGTGTAGACATTGTTGTCCCTTCCATTTAAACAGCAATACAAGTAGGACCTACCCAACAGCACCAAAAGGGACCTCACAAAGGATCACAACTTCACAAGACCCTCTATCAGATAAAAAGTTACAAACCCAAGTAGGACTTTTTGTGTTTGGAACTATTTACAATCAGAATTTCACGAGGCTGATTCACAAACGTGGCTAACGCTTGGCCATCCCAATCCAATTGTCAACAGTCTGAAAATGACTTTTTCTTTCACTGTGGAGAGGAGGATATGATCAAAGTTTGCTTATTTCAATGCACCTACATCTGACTAGGGTTTCTTGACATGTGGTTTTTGGGTTGGGATGATGGGCAGTAAGCACATCTGGTAGCTCCGAGACCACAATAGACAGCTAGTCCTCACCAATCAAGTGTCTAACACATGCAATATTTGACAAAAAAAGAATATTTTGCTAAAACATTATGGAGACTTTATTGCCTGAGGACCATACTAGCCTTGTGATCATGATGGGACCCGGTCCACGTCAGGGGGTGTTAGAGCGGTTGATGTGAGGAGGGATGTTGCAGATGCCTTGCCTTGATAGCTCATCTAGTACACCTTCAGTGGAAGGAGGCTTAAGGCCCAAAGGAAGTGGTAGCCATGGCTTGCTTATTGCCTCCTTCACAACCTTGTCAACTACCTCTTCTGCCTGCAAAAGACAGATAGCAAAAGAGATTAAATTTCATGTCCATGTTTGGAGTTTGGTTTGTATGTTACCCTACCTCTTAAATTATTCAGCATGTACATTATTTGAAGCCTAGTCATAGCACTCATGACTGGTCTACTTCAAGCAGCAAATTGATCCTATCCAAGGTCATTCAATCACATTGATACATGAATGACTTTTCATTGCCGTTCAGTTTGTTTTGCCTTGTGAAAGATTGGATAAGCAATTAATGCAAATCTAATTGGATGTCCAAATTTGCTCAAGTGAAAGATTAATCTAACCACGTATGCTACCATATTAACTCAAATGAAAACGACTGGCACTAGCTAGAAATTCAAGGTTTTCACATTGCAATACAAAATGAAATTCAATGTCTATATTTAGAACAATGTACATAAAGGGTTTCTGGTGTTACCGGATGAAGGTCAAACGAATTATGTTGCATGCTGCACCCATTATCAACTACACCGGCGTGAAAACCTGCTGCATTCTGCAATTTTGAAACAAAGAGTGTGAAAGAAGATAGGGTTAAGATGCATGCCTAACATGCATGCGTGGTTGAAAGAACAATCAACAGATTAAATGACCAATGCGTAAACAAAATGTAGAAGTTTTCATTGGCATACTCACTTGAGGATAAGAGGGATAACCACCTTGCAGAGGTGGCATTACAGGACAACCCCATGCATCAGCTTGCATCTGTAACATTAAAATGGGGCAAATACAAAAGAATCTCCTCAATGAATAATGCTAATGCCACCATTCATATATATACTTGGGAAAGATGACTAGCTTACCCCTTGATAAGGCTTCCAATGCCAACTTTCTGATGGTTGCCACTGGGGATAGCCAGGTGAACCCCACATCTGGACACCAGCTGGTTGACTGCCAGGTTGTCCCCACATAGGATAGACTGGTGCCATGGATAAGGAATTATTATAATGATATGGGGGAAAGGCCATGATAGGCTTCTGATTCTGAGGATAATAACTCCTTTGAATTGGATCTCTAGGATGCGGCAATCTCCGGTCGTCTTCCTTGGGTAAGATGTGTCTCTTCTGCATGCGATATTTCTGCATGATAACAATAGTCAATCACCTCATTAGGTCAGAATGGGGAAGGGGGATGATCAACTTGTTAGCACTGATCAATACAAAGACGGACACTCAGAAAAGAGGATTAATTCAACTGACATCATAGGATTTCAAACAATAAAAATGCTTGGTAGAAAAAATTCTCGAAACAAATTTTATCTCAGTTATGCGAACTGTATAGGATAAGGCTTTCGATCATTAGCAACATTAGGGATACACATGCTTCTATTTACGAAGGAGAGCAGCAACAAAGACAGCTTCTTACTGATTCTCTTTTCTTATGTCTCAGTAATCAACAAATTTAGTATAAAAAGAGTTGTAATGCAATGCAATAGGTTTATCATAAAACAAGTCTCAACAACATCTTAAGAGGTCTCAGAAATTATAGTTCCATCATCAAGCAAACGATAACTTGATTTGTTATCAAAGAATAAAATGCCCACCTGGAGATGGCTTGCTACATTATGCCTTGTCAAACCTTCAGCTTTCATCAGCTCTAGTATTCGAGAAGGAATGGCTTGATCCACACCCAATTGTTCCACTGCCTGCACAAATTTCTTGTGCAGTTCAGGCGTCCAATCTACCTGAAACCAAAGACAAAAGCCCAAATGCAATAAGATTGTCAAAACAATCATGTGCACTCATAATCCTTTCTAATGAAAACAAATTAGTACATCATTTTCCGAGAGGACTACTAGTCTACTAAACCTGCAACATGTTTTTAGGTGGACTAGTTTTTTCCATTTTTAAGGACAGCTGACAAAACCAGAGCATCTTATTTTTTTGATAATCAAACTAAGAGGCAATGTTGTTTTATCAAGCAGTTGTTCTTCCAAGTCAATGGCAAGCTCAAATTTCGTGATCATAGATTAAACTTATGAATATTCATAATCATAAGAGTCCAGTAAAAATTTGCACCCTTACTTGATGAATATAAAAAAGATTAAGGCACACATGCATGCATCCTTTTATTATGCATGCCTGGGGAAAATTGAGAAGCAACCAAATGCTAATGCTTCTCATGAACAGAAAAAAACCGATGTTGCCAGCACCAGTATGGGGAACAATTGGAAGAGATCAAACAATTTGTCATGATTCTGAAATCCAAATTACCTTCATCTTCTTCCGATTAGATTTGCATGAATTATTGGGAGTAGATGCTTTACTCAGATTTTCAGCAGCACCACCAACATCATTGGCACTGTTTCTATTATGCGGGTGCTGAGACCCATTAACAGAGTCATTTTCCTCTTTAACCACCCTTTTCCGAGTCATTTGAGGTTCACTCATTTGAACTGTGCCTTCATCGATTGGATTGCCACACGTAGTTTCGACTGATTTAGATTCACTGTCATTCTCCCCACTCTCTTTCTCTGATAAGCAGTTAATTTGATCTTGGCAATCCCCATCAGCGAGTAATCGTGATCCCTGTTTAAGCTGTGGGGTTGAGGGAGCTGGGTACTTATCACTTCCTACTGACTGCTCACGGTCACTTTCATGAACCCTGGAAACATTTTCTGTTTCTACTGAGATTTTACATTTCTGTTCTTCAGTTTCCTGTTTGATCTGCAGTATGGATACTACAGATTCTTTGACAGGCTTCAGTGATTCAGAGATGGCACTCCCTCCTGCATTGAATGCCTGCTCAGGATTTACAAAATCAGAAAATTTCTACTTACGGCATTTGCATAAAACTCTGTGGTAGATCTTGACACAACGTTACCATACTGGACAGACCTTATGAACAACATGCTGCCAAATATTCCTAAGTTTGTCTTCCGAGAGTGGTTTCCGCAGGAACTCAACTGCACCAAGCTGAAAATAGATTGTCAAATATATTAATGAAATATGATTGACTGGAAAAGCAATGAAGAATCTCCAGTTATGATTTGAGCAATAAGATGGTAGACCTAAATCGAAATCACCAAAATTAGCACTCCTTGATCAGGCAGCAGATTTCAAAAGGAGAAGTTCACGGTGTTTGACTATTATTGAAATGAACTCTATGGGAGAAATATACCAGAAATCCAAACAGAGTAGAGCATGTTGCTGTTGCACTTTTGAATTAAATAAGAGGTTGGAGCAAATATCTTACCGCTATACACTTCATCATGGTGCTTAGGCAATGAATGTTTGAAGTCACTGTAAAGAAGATTTGGTAGCTTCACATTAGAAATCAAGTATTATATTAGAAGCAACAAAGTTATCATTGACGTTAATGGTTAGTTATGCTTAATGATCTAACAAGTTATTCGAAACTCAATAAGATACTAAACAATAAAACACAACATATTTTTATAAAATGGTTAACATACAAAATCATCAAAGGAACTAAAACAGGAACAAATACAAATCACGAATACGCAAAAGAAAAAATACAATTTTGTGTCAAATTTAAAATGGTTCAGGTTTACTTTATAAACTTACTAATGGTCGGCAAGTCCTTAGCAGTTTCGAGAAATTGGAAAACCCCATGGCCATTGCTTGCATTTACCTGGGACCATAATCTTATTAGGATATATCCAGCTACAGGAATGACAGCTAAAGCACTCTGAGACTATACTAATCAAGGGAATTGTTTAAAAAGTTATAGTTGCTGAACTGAGCATCACAATGGTATTAAAATACGAATAAGATGAAACAGGTTTAGCTGAGAACACATTTACTAGAAAATGCTCCACCAAAGAACAGAGTGCGTTCTTTTTTCATTGGGATGTTCCAAACCAGCTAACAAGAATCAATGCTCCGAAGAAGCAGGTCAGATTTTTCTGAAAATAACAAAATTGAGTTATAGCTTCATTCAAGTTCAGTACCTCAACAATTGCAACTTGGAAACTTTGAGGATTGCTTGAAAATGCTGATAACGCTTCGGTATCATTGCAAAATGTAGTAACTGCAATAGACAAGATGATGTTACCAAAAGAGTGTATACAGGAATACAAAACAGATGTGCGCACAAACTGATAGAAAACAAACTTAGAAATTATACTGATAAAACAAAATAAAGATACGCTAGTTAGATCTAAACAGGATAACTTTGGTTTTTCCCCTGCATTCAACTTCTAATTTTAGTGCAGAGAAAAACAAAAGTTTACCTTTAAATTTAAAATAAATATATAAAAAAACTGAAAGCCACTTTTCAACATTTGGATCACAAAAGTATAAATATGAAATTGGGATTTCAATTTATTTCTTTAGTGGAAAAGAGAAACGAGCTATGGTGATGGTGAGCAAGAAATTGATTCTTTTTCCATGGTCAGGTACCTTTCTAACCTCCATATGACTAAAATCCAAAACCACATTCAAACGGAAGCAAGAATCCATCTATATAGAGAAGCATTATAAGATGCTTTAATGGGAAAAAAGAGGGACCAGCATACTCATGGAAAATTAATGAAGAAATGGGAAAAGGGTGAAACCAATATTTCTAGTTCAGGAAAGAAGATTGTTTAAGAGAAAAAAAATGATACAAACAAAAAGGGAAGATAGAAATTTCTCACCAATATAATCCATGGCCTCAAGCTTTGATTTTATCTCGGCAGCAGAACTGTTGTCTTCATCAAGGAGAAGAACTTTAAGGCCCTTGGGGAAATCTTTCCACTCTTGCAAATCATTAGCAGTGCAAACCATAGCTGGTTTGGCATCGTTTCTCAGGCTGTCCTAGGAAACTGTGTCAGATCACAGCTTGTAACCATCCAATGAAGTCTGCAAGATCCACATGAACCACACATCAGAACCATATTTTTGTTAACTTTAAAGATTCCCAGAACTAAAACATACATATTGGAGAAACCCCATTGCAAATTGAATATGTTTATGCATGATGTAACTGTTAGATCTTATTTCCAGAACTTTGTAATAAGAAGAACAAAGAGAACCAGATGACCCAAGTTCTCAGTTGGAACAAGAAGAAAGATTTTACCCGAGTGTAAAGATCTTATTTGGTAGTGCTAATTTTGCATAACAACACAAAGAGACAAAAAAAACCCATGTAAGATCTCCGCCAAAGAACAAAAAACTTACAAAAAGATAAAGGACATCATTGACCGTCATAGAGGAAAAATGAAGAAAAATCAATAGAGAGTCTGAAACAAAAACTGGGAAATTTCTTCAGAGTGAGGCTAAAAAGACAGACTTCAACCCACCAACGCATGCATGCACATATTGAGCACAAAAGCACCCCCAAAAAAACCCGGAGTATATAATGTCTCAAAACTAAGTTGCAGCAAGCAAACTAAACATAGACCAATATGATCATTAACTCCAAGAAAATGCAGTGAAATATAAAATCTTTCTTACTGTTTACCAAAAAACCAAAGGATAAAATCTTTATCAGCTCCGGTATATGTAAAGAAAAGACTCTCTCTCCTCTCCTCGGGCTTTCTTCCACTTCTTTGGCTGTATATAGATAGAAAGCTGCTTATAACAGAGAGAGAGAGAGAGAGAGGTTTAAGTGCGTCCTCTGAAGGGTGTCTGTCTGAGACCTGCACAATTACCATCGGTTGTTTACGGACCACAGAATATGCAAAAGGCTCACTCTTTAAAATTTCAGTCAATAACCTTTCTTCCCTTTTTTTTTCACACCTACTTTTTTGTGAATATCCCAAAAGAAAACTACCCAGAAATTCACTTTTCCCTCTCATAAAGTTATTTTTCTTTTAATTAAGAAATGATGAAGGGCAATCTCCTCTCCCAAGTTTAAGGATACCCAACGCTCTATCATCAGTATTAAAAGACTCCACATTTTTGTAAGGATTAAATCCACTTTGTCATATTATTATATAATAATCTCACATAAGGAAAATTTTCATGATTCAAGGTCCAAACTTCATATTATTAGAAAATGTTCTTATGTGCTTTATAATATTGGACCCAACAAAAGAAAATTATTTTAAGAAAATTATTGCACATCTTTTTGTTTTCTTCTCAGTGTATCATGCTATATGGTTATTGAATGAAATTCATTGCATAAAAATTTTATAAAAAAAGAAAAAAAAAAGAAAATTTGTTGGGTCACAATAAAGTTTGGACCTTGATAATTAAGTTAATATTCATAAGGAAATAGCATAGGATATAATCAGAGACACCCAACCAACATTCAATTTAAATTCTTTGAGCCACTTGATTGATACCACAACACTCTTTTCAACAGAGAGTGATTAAAGTGTCCTTTATTCTTTGATTTTGCTTTTCCTTACGATTTGAAGTTTTTGGAAAGCCTAGCTTTTGCTTTGATGTTTAGAGCCATAGATCCACATAACAATATCTCATTATTAATTTGAAAGGAAATAAAATGATATCATGCTTTATATATATATATATATTAATTATGACATCCTTCATTTCACTTCACTCACATGTGAATTTTACGTGCTTTTTAGCCTCCCAACATAAAAGCCTCTGCAGGCAACATCTCAATAAACAATGTAGAATGAAACACGTGAGTTTATGTAGAACGATAAAATTTTCATTTTAATAATAATAAGTAACAATGCCATGAGTGGTTGTTAATGTTGATAATTAATACTAGGATCTTTGACAATTAACCTAGGATAAGATGGAAACCTATATTTTAAGGCACTTAACTTTTCTTAATGTGTAATGGAAGTATTCCTACTAATCGTTTGGATTTATCAACTTTATTGTACGGTCCTTAACCAAAAATAAAAAATAAATAAAACATGTAAAAAAATTTGGGTTGCTTTCCTTTTCATTTCTTTTTCTATTACTTTATTTGTTTCCTTTTCATTATATTTGTTTGATGTGGGACTACTTTATGTGGGACTTTTGTCCTTGCAGTATCTGAGTTGAATTTTATAGTTTAATTGAATGTAAATAAGTTGAATGATAGTTTAAAGTAAAATTGAAGCATTATAATGTATGATAAATATATATTCTTTTTTAAATTGGAAGTTGGGACGGGTTTGGGAGACTGACTCCCAACGAGGACCAGGACGAGGATTCTCCAAAAATTCTTATTAGGGATAGGGGTGGGTAGGCATGTAAATGGGTCTTAGATGGAGCAGAGCACCTAAAATCCGACTCGACCCGATTTCAAAATTTTTTTGACTCAATCTGATTCAAAAATCCAACTAATTATTAACAACTAGATCCATATAAGATTTGTTGAATTATCCGATAACCCAATTCGAATTATTTTATGTCATATATACAAATAATTGAAAAATATTTTATTTATTTACAAAAAAATTCACCAGATTGTTACATATGCATATATATTAACTCAAAAATCATGAATTTTATTTTATTTTATTACAAATATGAGTTTTTAAATACTGATTTTAATATTTAAAAACTTGTTTGGTATTGAACTCCAAACTATTTTTAAGATTTAAACAAAATTAAAATTAAAATCAGAAACCTTAGGGGCTGTTCGGTAACTTTTTCAAGACCCCGTTTTCATTTTGTACCAAAAATGCTTTCGATATGTCGTTTTCATTTCACTGTAATTAATTTTTTGAAAACAAATTCACACTCATGTACAAAAACTGAAAACACCGAATTATCGTTTTCATTTTCTACCCCAGTGTATTGGTCTAATTGATTTCTTCTTTTCTTTTTTCTTTTTTTTTCTTTTTTTTCCATTTGTATTTTTTTTTAAATTTAGTTTTTTTCGTTCCACTTCATTATTTTATTTTGCTAAAGATAATATAAAACCATCATTTATTATTCTATTTTATATTTATTTTATTTTATTTTATATTGATTTTATGATAAAACCATCATATATTATTCAATTTCATATTTATTTTAAACTAAAGATAATATAATTTTATTATCTAGGTTTTTCTAAAATTGGAATTTTTGTGTTATTTTAATTATACATTATTATTCTCAAATTATATATTTTTCATTGTTTGTAATAATTTTAGCCTTTAAAATATCATAATTTTAAAATTAAAAAATTAGTACATAAATTAGCAAAAAATATACTTGAAAAATAACTCACATATTATTATTCTCAAATTGTCCGACCAAGCACGTTTTCACTATTTTTATTTCTTATTATGTTTTTCCAATTAATCTATGAGACGCATTTTCAAATCCTGAAAATGAAAATTCGTTTTCTTATTTTCATTCTCATAAAATATTTCTTTGAAAATGTTACCAAACCCGGGCCCTTTCCAAATTGAAAAAAAAAAAAAAAAAAAAAAAAAAAAAAAAAAAAAAAAAAGAGGAGAGAGAGAGAGACTGTAAAACTTCAAACAAAAAATTTATACCAGCAATGGTCTAAACTATAGGGGATACAATTTCTCACACACATACACGCAACTATGATGCCTGGGGATTCAAACTTGAGACAGAGTTTACAAGTCAAGGTCCTTTTGCACTAGGTTAGACCCCGTTGGCAAAACCTCAAAATTTTATTTTATTTAAATGAGGATTTTTTTAGTTGTTTTTTTGGGTTTGTGTTTTAAAAAATGAGCAAACTAAACGGGTTTTTGTAGTTTTGGACTTAAAAAATTATTTTTAAGTTTATAAAATTAGATATAAGTAGAATACCAAAATGGCCCTTAGTTCCTATCCCTAGCATTAATTCCATATTTTTGGTTCTACATTCCAAACAACACTCGTTGTTTTTGCTTGCCATTCAAACTTCTCCATTGAAAATGTGATACATTCCTAGAACTTACTTCTGCAATCTGACATGTTTTTGGTTTTTTTTTTTTTTTTTTTTTTTTTTTTAACAAATGAAGAAATATATTAAGTAAAAAAAAAGGAAAAGAAAAGAGAGAAACAGGCAAGGAGACAAATAGCACAAAAAGCTGAAAACAATAATGGTACTTGAGAAAACAGGAGCCCATGGTTTGTTTTTTTGGGGTGCTTTTTTTAAGGTCAAATACAGCTTGTGGTTTGCTGATTTCATCCAACAACCAAATCATTAATGCTGGAATGAAGGGTTTGAATCATTATTGAAATGATCCTTATCTTTTTTTTATCTTTTTTTTTGGCCAAATATTTTATATAGTTGATATGAATGTTCGATTTTAGTTTTTTTCTATGTTCAATTTTGGCGATTTTGTAATTATAATTTGATACTCATTGCAATTCAATGACACATCCATATTTTTGTTTACACCAGAAGTTTTCCATATAGGCCCCATGGAAATTAATGACATGATATGGGTCCATTTTTGTTACAAGCTTGGCCCAACTGACTATATTAGGCTATCTCTAGTCATAGGGCTAAAAATTTAGCCATCCAAAATATTACTTTATTAAAGAATAGTGCAGGGCTAACTTTTTCATCTCCAGCTATGTAGTGCTATATTTTAGAGTCCTTCATATTTTATTATTTTCTTAATTACATGAATTGACATTTAAAAAGGTGACCACATTTATAAAAATAAAAAGACTGGTTTTCAATGGTCTGACCTGCAACAGTCATAACCAATACTTTTTTATACTTTTTTTTTTAAACAACATGAATTGAAAACATTTGGCAGCACATGCATGGAGCCCACAAAAATTTGGCCTAGGCCAAAGCTGGGCTACATGTGGCCTGGTTAGAGAGCTAAAGAGCCAAATGTGGCCCTCCAAATTTGGTCAAAAAATTTTTTAGCCAATGGCTGGAGATGAGTTTTGCATTATTTTAGGGCTATATTTGA